AATAGTTCCTAACCTGTTCTTTACCCACCAAGGGCTGTCCATCTTCTTCCCATCTTGCGTCGCTTAGCACAGGAGTCCAGGAGCCGACCTTGTCCGTGAATACAGAGGCAAAGAAAGCATTGAGTACTTCAGCTTTCCCCACATCCTCTGTCACTAGGTTACCTCCTTCATCCATTAGGGACTGCACACCCTCTCTGATCACCTTCTTTTTGTTGACATGCCTGTAGAAACCTTTCTTGTTATCCTTCACATCCTTAGCCAGTCGCAACTCCATTTGCGCTTTCGCCTTCCTGATAACCCCCCGGCATTCTCGAACTATACATTTAAGCTCCTCCCTAGTCATTTGTCCAAGTTTCCACTTTCTGTAAGCTTCCTTTTTGTGCTTAAGTTCACCAAGGATTTCCCCTGTAAGCCAATCCGGTCTCCTACCATGTTTGCCTCTCTTGCTTCGCATCGGTATGGTTTCTTTCTGTGCCTTCAATAAGGCTTCTTTAAAATACTGCCAGCTGTCCTGGACTCCTTTCCCCTTCATGTTAGCATCCCAAGGGATTCTACTCATCAGGTCTCCTAGAGAGTCAAAATCTGCTTTTCTGAAGTCCAAGGTGTGTATTTTACTACTCTCTTTTCTTCCTTTGGTCAGGATCCTGAAATCTACCATCTCATGATCACTGCTTCCCAGGTTGTCACCCACCTCCACTTCCCCTATTAGTTCCTCCCTGTTTGTGAGCAGAAGGTCAAGCTGCGCACGGCCCCTGGTCGGTTCCTTTAGCACTTGTACCAAGAAGTTATCCCCAACATTCTCCAAAAACTTCCTGGATTGCCTGTGTACTGCTGTATTGGTTTCCCAACAGATGTCAGGGTGATTAAAGTCCCCCACGAGAACCAAGGCCTTCAACTGGGTCATGAGAAAAAACATTAGAAAACTGCTGTACGGTGAGACTGGGTTGCGGAATTGGGCCTTTAGGAGCAGAGCCCATGCCACACACTCTGGGCATTACAGTAATCATGATAATAAAGCAAATCCTATAGCTCAATTTTATTCAGAAGGCAGTTGTGTTTCCTGTGGGGCATGTCTGTTGTGTAAATATTTATTTTTGCACGTTATCTTTGCTTAACTGTGAACATCTGCAGTGTATTTCTATTTCAGCTGTATGCATAGCAGGCACCCCATTGAATTCAAAGAGCTTTGCCTGTTAAATCTAGCAATAAGGAATTCACTAAGACTGGCTTTGGAATGATGCTCTTCATGGCTGAATTGCTTTACTCTATTTTTTGCTTTATGAAAACTGGAGAATGTTGACAATATATTGTTGTACCAGAGTGGTCCAAACTCTTTGTTTACTTCAAAAGGGTTATTTCAAGTTTACATCACCGTAACGTGAGAGCAGATTCAGCCCAGTATTGCTTATAGAGAGAGGCAAACATATGTGATACAGTTGTAGCTGTGATGTGCAAATACATGATAGAAAAGATACCAATTTCAAGCTATAACTTAGAGTGCATCTACACAACTGGGCTTCACTCGAAATAAGCTACACAAATTGAGCTACGTCATTGTGTATCTTATTTTGAAATTGGGAGCATCTACACAGCACTTATTTCGAAATAGAGAACTCTTCCTCCACCTTCCCTTACTACTTGTACAATGAGGGTTACAGGAGTCAGAGTAAGAAATTCTTTAGCTGGACAGTATTTCAACATTATTTCGAAATAATGATAGTATTTCAAAATAAAGATGCTGTGTAGACGTACCCTTAGTGACCATGGATCTTGTATGACCATGAAGTGACGAAAGCAACATCCCATTCAGTGGTAAGAACGTACTGAATATTCAAAATTGCATGTTTGGGGACACAAATGAGCAATTTCTTTGCTTCTGCACGATTATGTGGATCGCGTGGTTCTTGTGTTGGAGCTTCGTAGCTGGGTTTCGCTACATAGGGAAAAGGCTACACCAGGCATGTCAAACTGACATTTGGAGGGCCACATGCGGCCCAATTGAAATTTTTTGCAGCCCACCATAATATTTTTATAAAATAATGAAGTGTGGGCAGCTCGGAGCATGTGGCTGAGTGCAGATCACAGCCGGCCAGGCTGCTCTGCGCTGTAGCAACTGCTCACAGCCAGCCAGGCTCCTCTTCACACGCGCTTACGGCTGGCTGGGTGCTCTTCACTGGGTACTCCAGCAGGTGCTCACAGCTAGCCACTGTGCTCACAGCACCCCAGTGCCTCAGGTGGCAACGTCGACCCTGGTATTAGGTTGGGGCATCTGGCTCTGGGGTTAGAATGGGGGTATGGGAGTGCCTGGCTCTGGGGGAGAAGAGGGGTTTTGTTAATATTTTGTTTTTTATTTATTTATTCCCAAATAAAATCACAAAATGTATATTAATTTTGTATCATAAATATGTTAATTTTTTGCAACTGCATGAATAATTATATCTTTATGCAAAATCTCAAACTTACAAAGTATCTACAATTTTGTTAGAATGGGGGTATGGGAGTGCCTGGCTCTGGGGGAGAAGAGGGGTTTTGTTAATATTTTGTTTTTTATTTATTTATTCCCAAATAAAATCACAAAATGTATATTAATTTTGTATCATAAATATGTTAATTTTTTGCAACTGCATGAATAATTATATCTTTATGCAAAATCTCAAACTTACAAAGTATCTACAATTTTCACAGAAGCCTGTTCTATTTGATTAACCATGGTCTAAACTTGTTTTTATTTCAACAAAACAAGTTATGTATCATATACAAAATTTAAAAGTACCTTAAATTTATATTTAAATTAAAAATTATGTAAAATTAATTTAAAAATTTAATATGAGCAAATAATTGTAATATTATAAAATATACCTAAAACATAATCTATAAAATAAATAACTACAATTCTGTGACAAAGTACATTTTTTTTGGTGGCTCTAGGGTTGCCAGGTCTCCGGTATTGATGCCTTTTGCTCAACAATTTTTTTCTTTTTTGGTCAACCCTAAGTGGCCCTGAAACCTATCAGTTTTTCTTTGTGCAGCCCTCACTAGGCTTCGAGTTTTGGCATGCCTGGGCTAAACCATAAAGTTGTTTGCAATGTTATTGTAGCTAAATTGGGATCTGAGAGAGACCAGGAGGTGGATATTCATCATTTGTTGGACCAACCAAAGTTGAACAATAAATGGCATCAGAAATTACTGTAGAATTGCAAGTCATCTTGCTGAGCTAGATGAGACTGCCACTGCACAGTTGCTTAAAAGGAACCTATCAAAGCCCCGATTCAGCAAAGTATTTCACTTGTGTTTAAGTCCATGCCTATCTCACAAATCATTTAAAGCATGTGCTGATAAGTACGCATACATTGAAACCCCTTTGAAATCTGTGAAATTTGAGCAGGTGCCAAAGTGAATCAGGACCTCAGTCCTTTCTCTGTTTAGGAGATCATTGCAAATCAAAATACAGAAGAAGTGATATTATTATTTGGGTGGCAAGTAGACAGGAGGATCACAGCACTGTCCCTTCCAGGGATTTACTACAATTATTCAGCCGCTCTGATTGGGGACTAGCAGGACTCAAGTCAGTGGTTTTGCACAAATTCTGCGGAACAGAAGCGGTAGCCTTTTCTCATGTGCACTCCCTCACGGGCCAGGATCAGTTTGGGCTAATATGTTTACAGACATTTAACAGGGATGACATTTGCTGCTACCAATTCTGGGGGCCCTGCCCCAGGATGTGATTGTAAATAATAAACCAGCCTTTATTTGAGGTACGTACTGTGCGTTTCCTTTGGGAATCCTGAAAGGGGCAGATTTAAAGGCTAGTTACGATTGCTAAGACCCTGATCTTGCAAATACTTATTCATGCATCTGACTTGATGTGACTACTAGGGATTAGGAATGTGAAAGTGTAACTGTGTTCACTGTTAACAGGGGTGGCCCGTGATTATAGGCCGACTCAGCCGTCACCTAGGGCGCCGCCTTCAACGGCACCTCAGGGTGCCCGATGATGACGTCATTCCATTGACGGCCGTGCAGGCGGGGGTGCCAATTGCGCATTCCGCCTGGGGTTCCAGCTCCGCAGCCTGCCTCGGGCCACTCCTGACTGTTAACCAATGAGCCTGGGCTCTTCAGTTAACCTTCATGATTACACGCAGACTTCCAGTACACACAGGGAGTTGGCATAAAAGCCGGCTTCCCACCCACACTGGCTCGCGGGGAGCCGCGTGCCCCCATCCCCACCCCTCCGTGTGTAACCCTGTGACCTCTTACACAGTTAATTAATTAACACATTGTAATACCCCTTCTAGAGATGTGAAAGTTAACCAATTAACTGGTGGGGGCTGGAGCTCCAGCCTCATGGAGGGTCTGCAGTGGACAGGCCCCCTACAAACACATACACACAGTTGACCAACTAAACACTATGCTTAACTGCTTAGCCAATTAAACGGGATTTTACATCTCTAGTGACTACTCTGGTGAGTGAAACTGAGCATCTGTGTATGTCTGCAGGACTGTGGGCTAAAGAGCCTCTGTCCCCAGCAGGACTCCCATTACGGTCAGTGGGAATGTTGCAGGGTAATAGGAGGCCCATAGAATCTCTGTAAAATGTCAAGTTCCTTTCCCTATTGTTTTACAATCTAAAGGTCAGTCGGACGTTGAGTCACGGGTGGGATCCATTTTGGGTTCTGTGCTGCTGCTGCATGCAAGGTGCTTTAAAACTCCCAGCGAGATCTAAGCATCGTGCCTGAAGGGAATCATCTCATTGCTCCCATCAGTTCTTTGTTTCCTTTCACACCCTTTCATGCTCTCTATGATCTATTATTTGGTCTGCCTTGTTTTTATTGTTCTCTTGAGAAATACTATTATTGAATCTTGACAAAGCGGTAAGATTTATTCATCTAATCCACAATGCACTAGATCGCATCTAGAGCTTCTTTTAGAGCATGGCTAAAATAGTTGCATGCACAAATTATTCTCCCTTTGTAATCTATTATCTTTCCTTCCCTTTTTAGGGGCCTCTTGGTTTGGACGGCAGGCCAGTAAGTAGTGTGCTAAGTGTCAGATGTACCATTTATTTGTTTCTAGTTACTCTATGAGACCGCTCTGTGCAGAGCCAACTATTATAATACTGGAACTCTCTGTCTTATAATTGTTACAAGGTGCAGTACAGCAAGGTCACTCTGTGCTTTGTAACGCAAACTGACTTTAAGATTTACTAGTTTAGGCCCTGATTGGACAGATGATAGAGTCCAAGCAAATTGCAGCACCTACATGGAAACCTGTTGACTTCAGTGGGATTCAGCACAGTGTGCAAAGCTAAGTTTAACCAGTTAACTGACTAAACAGGGGCAAGCAGGCTGGAGCAGCCCCCATGCTGCAGATGGGAGCTGCTCCAGCCCAGCTGCTTCCAACCCTGCACTGGGCTCCCTGCTCCCATGAGCTGGGACTCTGCAGCCTCACATAGGGAGGGTGGCTGATGGCAACCTTGCGTGGGGCTAGCAAAGGCTGGGAGCCAGCAGCCCTCCAGGTCTGGAACAGCCCTTCTGCCCATGGTGGGCCGCAGGCAGGGGGCTACTCGTGGGCAATAGGTAACCCTTACCTGGTAAGCATCACCTGTTAAGTTTCCCATTCGCATCCCTAATCCGTACAGGTTCAGGACCCTGTGAGCTTTTACTCTGACAGGTGACTAATGTAACACTGTCATTCTGGAGTTCCATGGTGTTTGAATTTCAGAAATGTTTATATACGCTGTGCTCAGTTCGCATATAAAAAGATGCGTTTTTCCAAGCGCCAGCCCTATAAACTCAACTGGGGATCAGAAAGCAAAGTTGGATTCTTTCCTTCTTGAGCATCATTTCTAGCAACACATGTTCTACCGGACAAATTTTGCACATTGCTTTCCATGAGTTTTTTTATAGATTGACCCAGTAAGTGGAACTTAAACAGCCCCATTGATGCACTGGAGAGAACAAAATCAAGTGCACACTGTTAGGTGGGTGCTAATAGGAGAAACAAGATATAATAAATTATTTAAATTGCAAAAGGGACCAGTCTGCGTCTGTCACAGAGGGAGCTAATCAGCTGAGTAGTGTTTCTCCAGAATGGTTTGGAAGTAGTGTCCGTATGCATGAAATACTGAAATTTGAAGTACCATTTTGTGCTGCATTAGGATAGACCATAGTCTGGAATCCATTTTTACATTATGTTCTCTTGACTTCTTTCTTTTGGTTGGAAGCCTATTGGAAATCCAGGTATCTGTCTCCTTATATTGTTTACAAAATCAGACCCTTTTGGTAACATGCTAACTGAACTTTGGCCATTTATGATTTTTTTCATAGAAGATACTTAAGAGCCATCATTTGTATATTGTTTTCATGCTGCATTTCCTTCTGCAATCACTAGAGGGCCCCATTTGAGTTTTTTTTTTTTAAGCTCCAATCATTGAGTGGCTTTTGAAAAAACAAATAGGAGCTATTGCATTTGTTTCAACTGCAAAGTTGTTCTAAATGTTTGTTAGCCACTTTGAGAATGTTTGGTTATGGCTGCAAACATGCTCTAGTTCTGTTACTACATAAAAAAAGATTGAACCTCTCTAGTTCGGCAACATCCGTGATCTGGCATGATTTTACTTAGCTGGATGTCCACTTACCATGGGTCTGGCCATGTCTCCTGCAGTCCCATAACATTGGTTTATAGCCACCAGTCCTGGCTCTTGGTGTTCTGTGCGGTTATTTAGCTCTAAATTACCCCAGATGTCTCCTAAGAGCCCAGTAAGCAAAGGAAGTGTTGGTAATGCTGCTAGACAATATTGACCTCCCATGGTCCAGCAAATTCTTTGTTTTGACACCAGTCAGGTCCTGAGGATGCCAGACTAGAGAGGCTCAACCTGTAGTAGAAAACTGTAAGACCAGCATGAGAATCTTTGCCCAAAATTCAAACCAATCCAGAATTTGTCTTTTTTTGGCCTCCCTGGAAAGAAGAAATATTAGAAGTTTCATGAAAGGACCTGGTTCCATGTTTTCCACACACACACCCTTTTAAGGATACATAGGATGGGACTTTGAAAGGCACTGAAGAGAGTTAGAAGACAGATTTTAAAGGTAGTTAGGTGTCAAAAGCTGCAGAGAGGTGATTGTGGGAATGTCAAAAGCATCTTGTCACCTACCTTCCATTGATTTCACTGGCACTTAGGGGTGTTTGAAAATTCCAGACCACACCTATGTAAGCTCCTAAATGCCTTTACAGATCTGGCCTTTTGTGCCTAACTTTCTTCAGCTCCTTGGAAATTTCAGCCAAGAGCTTTGAATAGATTTTCTTGGGCTCCTTTGTTGTCAGCATATACCTGCAACCAAGTGTTTGCTGGATAGGATTCTGAGTGGAGAGGGGCTTGAAATCCACCACAGGGTGACCTACTTTTCTGCAGACCAATCATTCTTTTGGTCCACGTACCAAACATCCACCCCCATAAAGAGAAGCAGACTGTCAGGTTAGAGCATCACAATGGTGGCCTCTGGCCTCTAAATTGATGAATGTATATAAGAATGATGTCGGTGTGTATGTAACACCAGCAGATACTGATCATCTGTGGGCAGAATCAAACCTGGGACTTCTGGAACTCAGTGCATGAGCCTCTACTGCATGAGCTAATAGCCAGCTGCCTATTAGCTAAAACTGTAGAACAGACTAATTATTCTCTCTAAGGCTACGTCTACACTGTCTGCTTGTTGCGGAAGAGGAAATGCAAATGGAGCACTCATTTGCATATCTCGTGCTCCTTCCGATCCTTTTTGCAGAAGAGGTTTTTGCGATAAAAAGCCCTGTGTAGACGGGGCCAGTTGTTGGGGGAAAAAACCCCTTTTGCACAAGAGCCCTTACTCCTCAAACAATGAGGTTTACAGGCTCTTGCGCAAAAGGGTTTTTTCCCAACAAATGGCCCCATCTACACAGAACTTGTTATTGTAAAAACCTCTTCCGCAAAAAGGATCAGAAGAAGATATGCAAATGAGAGCACCGAATATGCAAATGAGTGCTCCATTTGCATTTCCTCTTCCGCAAAAAACACAGTGTAGACATAGCTTAGGTGATCTCAGTGCCATGAGATAGGACAGTGAACAGTGAACCATACCCAGCAGGTGTAAGGATTACATGTACAGCAGACATAGGCTATCATCCCAATCTTGCAAGAGGCTCCCCAGGCATTCCCTGCAGTGAGGCTCTTTGCAGTAGCAGTCGTCCGTCAGCATAGACTCTCCTGCAGGATCAGAACTCATGTCCATACTTGTTGTTCTCAGCTTTTTTTTTCCCCCCCACCAGAAATATTTGATGGATTTTTTTTTCTTTAAGAAAGAAAATAAAATCACAGGGTTTGCTTAGTCTAAAAGGAGAACAAGTGAGTCTGATTTTCTCTTTTCGAGTCATGTTAATGTCTTTATCAGTAATGCTTTTAATTTCAACACATTTTAAAAATAAAATAAAATATAAAAGAAACCTCACTTTGTCCTTTAAAAAGGGGGAGGAGTAGAAAAAGACTGGAACCAAAGGTGACTGGTCAGTGGGCACTCGGGGTAACACCAGCCATGTAACTTACACCCTAGCCTGGGAAGGACCAGAATAATCCCTCTCCACTCCAGGTGCTGCCTCCCTGCCCTTACTCTGTCCCCTTCCCGCCTCTTCGCTGCTCTTGCTCTGCTCCTGCCCCTCCTCTTTCCCCAGCTAAGGTGGCCACTCCCCTCCCCTACACTCACTAGCAGTAAATAGTTTGATTTAGTTTTGCAGAGACAATCTCCTCTGGCTTTTGCCCATCCCTACAGAAAACACATGGGGACAGAGAAAAGGCAAATGTGGTTTGTTTGTTTTTTAAATCCAAACACCCGGCCTGGGCCCTCAGTTTCTTGGAACATGCTGAGATCTGGTCTGAAATTAGCAAAAAGGCAAAGGAAAAAAAGAATCGTAAATTAAAAGAAGAAACCGAAACCACAAATACATATAACATGCACTACAGGGCCCATTCTACTCTCTGAGGGTATGTCTACACTACCCCGCTAGTTCGAACTAGGAGGGTAATGTAGGCATACCGCACTTGCAAATGAAGCCCGGGATTTGAATTTCCCAGGCTTCATTTGCATAAGCGGGGCGCCGCCATTTTTAAAACCCCGCTGGTTCGAACCCCGTGCAGCGCGGCTACACGGGGCACGAACTAGGTAGTTCGAACTAGGCTTCCTAGTTCGAACTACTATTACTCCTCGTTCCTCGAGTAACGGTAGTTCGAACTAGGAAGCCTAGTTCGAACTACCTAGTTCGTGCCCCGTGTAGCCGCGCTGCACGGGGTTCGAACCAGCGGGGTTTTAAAAATGGCGGCGCCCCGCTTATGCAAATGAAGCCCGGGAAATTCAAATCCCGGGCTTCATTTGCAACTGCGGTATGCCTACATTACTCTCCTAGTTTGAACTAGCGGGGTAGTGTAGACATACCCTGAGTGTGGATTGATGCTTATGGCCGGAAGTTAAATGCAAGCCCCAAGGCTGGAAGAGACTCCTCTGGGGAGACAAAGCCAAATTGAAAGAAAAAGCAAATCGAGTACGTCAGATTGCCATACTCAGGCCTTGTCTACACTGGCACATTGTGTTGCTAAAAACTGCCTTTTGGTGACAAAACAGTGAGAGCATTTACATTTCAAATCAACTTTTTGGGGGAAAATATTTTAAAAGGGCTCTAGAGGTGATCCTGGTAATTACAGGCCAGTAAGTCTAACATCAGTACCGGGCCAATTTAGTTGGAACTGTGGTTAAGAATAGAATCGTCAGACACGTAGATGAACATAATTTGTTGGAGAAAAGTCAACATGGACTCTGTAAAGGGAAATCATCCCTTACTAATCTACCAGAGTTCTTTGAGGGGGTCAATAAACGTGGACAAGGGGGATCCAGTGGATATAGTGTACTTAGATTTCCAGAATGCCTTTGACAAGGTCCTCACCAAAGGCTCTTAAGTAAAGTTAGTTATCATGGGGATAAGTTAGTTATCATGGTTAAGACAGGAAACAAAGGGTAGGAATAAATGGTCAGTTTTCAGAATGGAGAGAGGTAACTAGTGGGATCCCCCAAGGGTCCATACCGGGACCACTCCTATTTAACCTATTTATAAATGATCTGGAGAAAGGGGTAAACAATGAGGTGGCAAAATTTGTAGATGATACAAACCTGCTTAAGATATTTAAGAACAAAGCAGACTGTGAAGAGCTTAAAAAAGATCTTACCAAAGTAAGTGATTGGGCAACAAAATGGCAAATGAAATTTAATGTTGATAAATGCAAAGTAATGCACATTGGAAAAAATAATCCAACTATACATACAATATGATAGGGGCTAATTTACCTATAATCAATCCAGAGAGAGATCTTTGAGTCATTGTAGATCATTCTCTGAAAACATCCACTCAATGTGCACTGGCAGTCAAAAAAGCAAACAGAATGTTAGGAATCATTAAAAAGGGATAGAGAATAAGACAGAATATCTTATTGCCTCTATATAAATTCATGGTACGCCTGCATCTTGGGTACTGCGTACAGATGTGGTCACTTCATCTCAAAAAAGATATATTGACATTGGAAAAGGTTCAGAAAAAGGCAACAAAAAAGATTAGGGGTTTGGAACAGGTGCCATATGAAGAGAGATTAAAAGAATGAGACATTTCATCTTAGAAAAGAGGAGACTAAAGGGGGATATGATAGAGGTCTATAAGTCATGTCAGGTATGGAGAAAATGAATAAGAAAAAGATATTTACTTGTTCCCATAACATGAGAACTAAGGTTCATCAAATGAAATTAATAGGTGGCAGGTTTAAAACAAACAAAAGGAAGTTTTTCTTCACACATTGCAATCAACCTCTGGAACTTCTTGACAGATGAAGTTGTGTAGACCAGGACGTTAAGGGTATGTCTACACTGCAATGCTATTTCGGGATACTAGAGGTATCCCAAAATAGCTACCCCGCATCTTTTGAATGTGTCTGCTATTTCGAAATATAGTAGAGGCACTATTTTGCCATCCCTGTAAATCACATTCTACAAGGAGTAAGAGATGGCTCAAAATAGTGCTTTATTTTGAAATTTGGCGCTGTGTAGACTTGAAATAGACTCGAAATTGCGTCTCTTATTTTGAGTTTCAGGTGCTGTGTATACGCATCCTAACAGGGTTAAAAAGGAACTAGATAAATTAATGGAAGTTAGGTCCATCAATACTTATTAGCCAGAATTGGCAGGAATGGTGTCACTAGCCTCTGTTTGTCAGGGGCTGGAAATGGATAACAGAAGAGGGATCACTTGTCGACTACCTGTTCTGTTCACTCCCTCTGGGCATCTGGCATTGGCCACTGTTGAAAAACAGGATATTGAGGTAGATGAATCTTTGGTCTGACCCAGTATGGCTGTTATGTTCTAAAGACACTCAGTTTTGGTGATGAAAAACTTCAACCCCTGTGAGAGATTTTCTTTTCTTTTCCCTTTATTGATGACAAAGAGCTCCATGTGGGCTCTGCTATTTGTTTTATCAAGAGAACTGGCTTCCACAAGTATCCCACAATGCCTGCCCTGGTGCATGTGCTCAGTGTTTTGTGATTTCTGCTGCCCTGCAGGCATGCCTCCTTCCTCTTTCAAAGATCTGGGAAGTATCTGACAGCTGAGTGAGCTACTTCCTATGGGGGGAAAAGAGCAAATCATTGGAATGTTCCTGTTCTGCCCTGCTAGGGACATAGCAGTAGGCAGACTGCTGCTGCAGGGGGAGGGCTGGAGAGACAGCTGTGCTGCTTTGACTTCCTCAGCTCAGGGCGCTCACAGAGCTACAAGGGAATCCCAAGAAGTGCAGGGATCAGCTCTGCCTTCCCACAACATTGCACTGTGGGGCGCTTACCCACAATGCTTTGCTCTGTCTGTCGACAGGATGCCAGCAATGTGGCCATGAAATGTCAACAATGGGAGGCAGAAAAATCGATTTGATTGGTTTTCACTTTTGGCAACTTTTGCATGTTGGCAGCACTTTTGTCACCAAACCTTCCCAGTGTAGCTATAGTCGCAGACAAGGCTGCTCCCGAGCTTGTCCATGAAATACCCTTGAAAGTACAGGACCAGCACTATTGCCTGGGGCCAGACTTGCAGCAAATGGGCTGCCGTGCAAGCAGACAAATACTTCTGCCATTGCATCTCCCTTTTAACTCTTCCCTACGCTGTAGCATGTCTGGCCTTGCTTTAGCTAATGCTTATGCCATTAATTGCACTGAATGGAAAGGAAATTCTTCCTTTGCCTTCACCTGTGAGTGAAACACACATCCGATCATTTTAATTGCCTTTTTGGGGTTCCACCTCCCTCTCCCTGCACGTCTCAGACAGAGCTATTTTGGAGGAACAGCAAACAGGACAAAAAAAGCAGCCTGCTCTCTACCTATATTTCAAATGGTTGTTTAAATGGGAATAGCATACTGAGCAGGTGCTTCTAGAAATGATTGAATTGCTCAAACAAGTCCTTCTTATAGTAAACATCAATATCACGTGCACTTGAGATACAGATAGAAATGCTTTTTCTATTTAGTCTGGTGGTTTCTGCTGATGAACAGGAAACAGAATGTGGTCTTACTAGTCCTTCATTAGCCGTATGCCTCTTTTCTAAAACAGAATGTGACATATATAAAAAAGAAAGAGAAATAGAGTTGAAAGGGAATGAAATCATGAAGTAAAAAATCTTATTCTTTCTGCTCACAGGACTAGAGCAGAGATGAGGGCACTCATATATATGCTGCTTTTTTATTCTGATCTCATTTCTATTTACAGGGATCTCCAGGACCAAAAGGGGAAAAGGTAAAGACTAAACTCATCACAACGTATCTTTACAAACCTCTTTACAATGCATTAGAAAATACTTATTGTTTCACGAGCACTGGGATTTTGTCGGTTAGGCTCTTAGATAGCAGCCTTGTCTTCTAATGGTTTCATGGTGGAGCATGCAGCCATAGGGCTAAAGTCTCCCCTTGGGAAAACCCCTGGAAGGGAAAAAGTTACAGCAGGAAATGCTCTGCCAGGGTAGACACAGTGTCACATTCTCACCTGAGGGGAGGATGGATTAGCAGATGCCAATTCAGGGGTGGGCAATAATTTTAGATGTGGGGCCACTTCATTAATTTTTCAGGTGGCCCCAGACTGTCCCGGAAGGGGTGGGGCCTTGGGCAGAAAGGGCGAGGCCAGGACACTTCTGTGCTCCCCTGCCTACAGACTTTGATTGGCCTGGAGGTGGGGGATCACGTGAAGTCTTTCCTCCCCCTCCCCCACCACATTTCCTGCCTAGAGAGAACTGCCAAATGTTCTGAACAGCTGGCGGTTCCCTCTAGGCATCTGCGCCCCTGGCGGCAGGAGAAGACTTCTCGCTCCCTGCCCCCACCCTGCAAGGGGCGTGCGGCACTTAGAGTGGACTGGTCCCCAGGCCCTGATTGGCCTGGGAATGGGGGAGTGGCAGGGCATCCACGGACCAGATCCACCCATTTGGCAGGCTGGGTCCAGCCTATGGAGGCCCCTTTGCCCACCCCGTGCTAGCTCTTCAAAGCGATAGTGTTCCACACCATAGAACTTGAAATATCCACATGCCATCCTTTTCTCCAGCCGCACAGAGAGCTTTGTGGCCATGTGTTCCCATTTCCAACCCTATTGCCACGCTCTGTCTCCCCACTGAGCCACGGAACGGGGATTATTGTTGCAATGCACGATCTCAGCCCAGGTACCATTTTTCCACATAAGTTACAGGCTTAGAAATGGGAAATAGCTTGGAGTTGCTGCTCACCTCCTTCCATTGCAGAATTGCTCCCTGTCACATTGTCTCAAGGCCTTTTCCTGCCTGGTTTTGAACGAATTAAGCTGGGGAGTGGCGGGGGAGGGGAGGGGACCTTAGCATTTCTCTTAGGACACCATTCTACATTCTACTGGCCTCCCACGCTGTCTTGCATATCTGAGACTTGAACTCTAATTGCTCCTCTGCCTTCCTGTTTTGTGTGACACATAGGGTGAACAAGGGGACATCGGCCCAAGGGTAAGTACTAATCGCACTTCTCTTATTTTTCTAAAACATAACCAAACCCCACTATGGTAAAGGAACGCAAATCTGAGTGTAATATTAGTCAATGCAAACTGTCATGCAGTGAAGGGTTAGAAAGGTTGAGTCTGCCATCAGTATTGAGTCTGGGGCATAAAATTTTTCTTCCTCCGAGAAGTACAGTCTGGAAACATGAAAACTTTAATTAAGAATCATCAGCCCTAGGAGACCAGGTCACTTTTGTATTTGTTACCCATCTCTAGATCTTCTTTCTCTTGAGAAAGGAGAACAAAGAAATACCAGCAGCCCCCATGTTTCACTTCAGACAATGGCTGTTAATTTATTTGTATTGTGGTCATACCTAGAGTCACCATTCAGGGATCAGAGCCCCGTTGGTGATGGACAGAGCACAAATACATATAGTGAAAAGACTCTGTTCCAGTTCTAAGTCTATGATGAGAGAGAGAAAATAGATACAACGGGCACATGTAGGAGTGTGAGGTACCAGTGAGGTATCTGATGTTACAAGTTTGTTTCATCTTCTCTCCTTTTGGTGTCTCTTTCATGCTTGTGAATTCTTTTCATACTCTCTTCTCACTCCCTGGTATTTGCTCAGAGCTGCCTCTGAGTGAAGACAAAGATGTAACCAACCGAAGTGAGGGGAGAGAGCAGTTTCTGCTATAACATCTGGAAACCAGTGACCTGTTGTGGAAATGAAATGAATATATATTGTTTCTAATCCGTGACGTCAATTGTTTGAAATAGGCCAACGGTGTGGGTTCCTTCAGCAAATATATGGGAACAGTCCATTAGCCAGAACAGAGCCGCTAAGTATGGTAGGTGAAGGCTCAGCATGTCAAGAATAAGACGTGATGCGGATGCCATCAGACCTGTGCTTTCCACAGTGTTTTTCTCATATGGGTACAGGTTTAATTAGCCAACAGTGTATAGACACAGGCTGAGCTGAAGTTCCTCTGACTGCTGCAGGTGTCTGGGAATGCTCAGCGTTGTTAAACTAGTGTGCACTTGCCTAAGCCTAGGGGCTGATACAGAAAGAGTAACTTAAGAGTTGGCTGTTGGAAGATGGCTCAGCTGCTACTTTGATGTGATGTTTCTTGGAATCTTGTTTTGTGTGCTGTTAAATGCAGAGTAAGCATTTTGCTAAGGAAACCCATATGGTTCCTTCCTGATGATTAGATATGCAACATTCTCCTTTGCACAGCTGTGCTCAGACTGAGTCTCTCTTACATTCTGGCAGCTTTCCTATGAGGTTGGGAGAGGTGGTTATTAGTGGAGCTGTCACTTTAAGAAGATCCAGGACACCAGTATTCCTCCAGACTCTCCATCTGTGAAGTCTCAGAATGTCCCACGCTGCTCTGATTGTACCACATAGTTAATATTGTCTTTCTTAACAAAGAGTATTAATTATCACATGTGAGCGGGTGACAGTTTATGCATGGGGGCATGAGGAAAAAACCCTCCCTCTCACATACACACTGATAGCTTTCTTTGATAGGATAAAACACCCAGTGGATAAGGGGGAAGCAGTAGATATGGTATACCTTGACTTTAGTAAAGCATTTGATATAGTTTTGCATGACCTTCATATAGGTAAACTAGGGGAATACAATCTAGATTGGGCTACTATAAGGTGGGTGCATAATTCGTTGGATAACTGTTCCCAGAGAGTAGCTATCAATGGTTCACAGTCATGTTGGAAGGGCATAATAAGTGGATTTCCACAGGGATCAGTTTTGGGACTGGTTCTGTTCAATATCCTCATCAGTAATTTAGATATTGGCATAGAGAGTACACTTGCAGATGATACCAAGCTAGGAGGTTTGAAGGAGAGGATCATTATTCAAAATTATCTGGACAAACTAAAGAAATGTTCTGAGGTAAACAGGATGAAATTCAATAAGGACAAATTCAGAGAATTCCACTTAGGGAGGAACAGTCAATTGCACACACACAAAATAAGAAACAACTGTCCAGGAAGAAGTACTGCAGAAAAGGGACTTAGGGATCATAGTGGACCACAAGCTACCTATGAGTCAACAGTGTGACACTGTTGCAAAAAAAGCAAACATGATTCTGGGATGCATTAAAAGGAGTATCATAAGCAAGATACGAGAAATCATTCTTCCACTGTACTCTGCGCTGATTAGGCTTCAACTGGAGTATTGTGTCGAGTTCTGGGCAGCACATTTCAGGAAAGATGTGGAGAAATTAGAGAAGGTCCGGAGAAGAGCAACAAGAAAACTTAAAGGCCTTGCAAACATAACCTATGAGGGAAGACTGAAAGGACTGGGTTTCTTTAGTTTGGAAAAGAGAAGACTGAGAGGGGACATAACAGCTTTCAAGTACATCAAAAAGTGTTAGGAGGAGGAGAGAGAAAAATTATTTTCCTTGACCTCTGAGGATAGGACAAGAAGCAATGGGCTTAAATTAGAGCAAGGGAGGCTTAGGTTGGATATTAGGAAAAACTATTTGTCAGGGTAGCTAAGCACTGGAATAAATTGCCTAGGGAGGTTGTGGAATCTCCATCATTGGAGATATTTATGAGCAGGTTAGATAGACATTTGTCAGGGATGATCTAGATGGTGCTTGGTCCCGCCATGAGTGCAGAGGGACTGGACTTGATGACCTCTCGAGGTCACTTCCAGTCAGTGGAGACAACACCACTGCAGGACTGGGGGCAAGGTGTGCGGGGGGAGGGCTAGCTAGCCTCGGATGGAAGGGGCTGGGTGGAGGGCAGTCAACCGTTAGCACCATTCGGAGTGCCCAGCATGGCACTCTGGCGCTCCCATGGTAATTCAAAGGGGTACGGGTCTCTGGTTGCTGTTGCAGTTTCGGCGGCAGCGGCAGCCCGAAGCTCGGGGCCCGTTTGAAATGACAGGCCTCAAGGCAATTGCCCGCTTTGCTGCCCTCTCCTGCAAGCCAGTTCTAGTATTCTGTGATCACTGTCAGATCACAATCACAACTGAATAGGCCTTGAAAAAAAAGTGCAACAAAATGAGGAGTATCTCGTTACCCAGCAGAATGTGGTGTTACGTGGGCCCTTGAGATTCAGAAGTGAACATTGGCTGGTAGCTGCTCTTGTGCATTTCAGAACATTCAGAAGAGAGTCAGAAGTGAACATTGGCTGGGGCTCTTGTGCATTTCAAAATCGGAACTCCACGTACAGCCCAAGCCAGCGGGAAATCTTGGGGTCAGCTCCGTGTGGCGCTGCTGCTTTGAAACGCCACCACAGCATTTCAAAGCAGCAGGGCCACACGATGAAGCCCAGGGTACGGGCTCTGTGCGGTGCTGCTGCTTTGAAATACCCCTCTTTCCCCCCTTTGCTGCCTCTATCTGATAGATAAGCATTTGCTTATCAGACAGTTGACTAGTCCTTAACATCCTTAGCCTGCATACGTGTCCTCCGTTCTCTCTCAACGGGCAGCAAAATTGTTGTAACCAAGATGGTTTCCCAGGACAGGGTATTTTTGTCAACTGTGCTTGCGCACCTAGAATATGCAGGGAGTGCCAATTGAACTGTGGCACTTCGATTAGATGCAGAGAAATCCCAGAATAAATGTGGTATGCAAAGGGCATGCTCCTCGCTTCACATACCCTTGCTTTATATATGTGCCACTTTAGTAAGACAGATTGAACCTCTCTAGTCCGGAACCCTCAAGACCTGACCACTTCCGAACAAGATAATTTTTGGACCACAGGACGTCTATATTGCCTAGCAGCATTACCAACCCTTCCACTGCTTACTGGGCTGTTAGAGGACATTTAGGGGTAAATTAGAGTTATAACAGCACAGAACAGTGAGAGCCAGGACTGGTGGCTGTAAATAAACTATATGGGACTGGGGGAAACTTGGCCATACCCGTGAATTGTGGACATCTGGCTAAAAAAAATCATTCTGGACAACAGATGTTTCTAGATGAGATAGTTCTGGATTAGAGAGGTTCAGCCTGTACTGGTAGGAAAAAAACTATGCAGAGGGAAACTAGTGAAATCTGGCAACCCCGTGCGTGGGCAACAGTACACAAAATGTCTCACGAGCCATGAATAGAACCCCGATAAGCTGCATGCGGCCTGCAGGCCACAAGTTGCCCATCACTGATGTAGAGACATGAAGGAGGGAAAAGTGGATAAAGTGAAGGAACTCTTGGTACGCAGAAGAAAACCTTCGGCCTGAAAAGGGGAGGGAACTTTATACCATCCAAGTGGCTTCTCCATATTAGCCAACTGAATGAATACTTGTGTGGTAATTACTCTGTTACTGCACAGCACTGTCGGTGGGAGGTGTATTGTCAGGATATGCTATTGTTATCTGTCTAGAAAATTAAAATTTCGAGAAAAAAAATCCAACAGTAAGGAGTCCTGTGACATCTTAAAGACAAACAGGTTTATTTGGGCATAAGCTTTCATGAGCTGGAGCTCACTTGGTTGATCTGTGGAGCTCCCTATTGCTTCTTCACAAACTTATTTTGAGAACTTGCTGCAGTGAACTGTGTTCTGCTGGAGAAGTGTTTCGGGTGTGTGTTTGGGGGAGGAGGGAAGCAGAGCACCTGTTAAACTGAGCCTGCACACTATTAGAATTACATTAGGTGGCACCTTAAGAAGAGGATTTAAAATTCGGGTGGGTCTTGTCACCATGCAGTGGTAGATGGTGGCATTTTGTGACAGAGTCTTTCAGTAGCTTTGGCAGAAGAATTATCTTTTTTTAATTTCAAGACAATATTATATAAACTTCTCCTGTATAACCTAGAGGTGGGGCCAGGCTACCAGAAATATGCTTACTGGCCATGTGTGATGGGAAACAGACATAGAAATAACAAGGAGTCCAATGGCACTTTAAAGACTTCCACTTCCGAACAAGATAATTTTTGGACCACAGGACGTCTATATTGCCTAGCAGCATTACCAACCCTTCCACTGCTTACTGGGCTGTTAGAGGACATTTAGGGGTAAATTAGAGTTATAACAGCACAGAACAGTGAGAGCCAGGACTGGTGGCTGTAAATAAACTATATGGGACTGGGGGAAACTTGGCCATACCCGTGAATTGTGGACATCTGGCTAAAAAAAATCATTCTGGACAACAGATGTTTCTAGATGAGATAGTTCTGGATTAGAGAGGTTCAGCCTGTACTGGTAGGAAAAAAACTATGCAGAGGGAAACTAGTGAAATCTGGCAACCCCGTGCGTGGGCAACAGTACACAAAATGTCTCACGAGCCATGAATAGAACCCCGATAAGCTGCATGCGGCCTGCAGGCCACAAGTTGCCCATCACTGATGTAGAGACATGAAGGAGGGAAAAGTGGATAAAGTGAAGGAACTCTTGGTACGCAGAAGAAAACCTTCGGCCTGAAAAGGGGAGGGAACTTTATACCATCCAAGTGGCTTCTCCATATTAGCCAACTGAATGAATACTTGTGTGGTAATTACTCTGTTACTGCACAGCACTGTCGGTGGGAGGTGTATTGTCAGGATATGCTATTGTTATCTGTCTAGAAAATTAAAATTTCGAGAAAAAAAATCCAACAGTAAGGAGTCCTGTGACATCTTAAAGACAAACAGGTTTATTTGGGCATAAGCTTTCATGAGCTGGAGCTCACTTGGTTGATCTGTGGAGCTCCCTATTGCTTCTTCACAAACTTATTTTGAGAACTTGCTGCAGTGAACTGTGTTCTGCTGGAGAAGTGTTTCGGGTGTGTGTTTGGGGGAGGAGGGAAGCAGAGCACCTGTTAAACTGAGCCTGCACACTATTAGAATTACATTAGGTGGCACCTTAAGAAGAGGATTTAAAATTCGGGTGGGTCTTGTCACCATGCAGTGGTAGATGGTGGCATTTTGTGACAGAGTCTTTCAGTAGCTTTGGCAGAAGAATTATCTTTTTTTAATTTCAAGACAATATTATATAAACTTCTCCTGTATAACCTAGAGGTGGGGCCAGGCTACCAGAAATATGCTTACTGGCCATGTGTGATGGGAAACAGACATAGAAATAACAAGGAGTCCAATGGCACTTTAAAGACTTCACACATTTATTAGGGCATAGGAGCATAAGCTTTTGTGAGCTACAACTTACTTCCTCAGATGCTGAAGTTTAGGGCTTCTTCTGACATGGAGTTTATTGCCCTGTATTCCCGTAGGACGGGAACATTCAGGCTCATAGGCTTGGGTGTTCTTATATAATCATCTCTAATGTCTCAGGGTGCGTCTGCACAGCAGAGCTAAAGTCGAATTAAGCTACACAACTTCAGCTACGTCAATTGCGTAGCTTAAGTTGAAATAGCTTAACTCGGCTTTTGGTGCTGTCTACATAGCAGGAAGTCAAAGGAAGAAGGCTCAGGCCCGCAGGGAGCGCAGGGCCAGCAGGGGAGTTCTGCGCTCCCTGCAGGGCTTCCTTTTTGAAATGTACAGTTCCAAGGCTGAAGTGCTGCAGGGAGACCCCCAGTAGGGCTCTTGCTACAGTTCAAAGATGGAGATGCCCTTATACACTAATCCCATGGTCACCAACCGGTCGATCGCGAGGCCTTGACCAGTCGATCGTGAGGCGTTCGGGTCCCCCCTCACCCTCCATTTCAGCCCCACTCCCAAGAAACCCCACTACCTACCTCCAGCAAAAGAAAGGGTTTTTCTGACATTTGGTCCAGTCTAGACAGGCCAAATGTTTGGAAAACTTCTTCCTACAGAAGAATTGGGGGGGAAAGTAGCAGCATAAGGATTGGGGATAGCAAGTGATGGAGAGGAGGAGAATAGAGAGGGCGGGGCTTCAAGGAAGGGGTGGGGCGGTAAATCTTGGCTGGTTCTGTCATTTAAAAAGTGATCTTGGGTGTAAAAAGGTTGGAGACCACTGCACTAATCAAATAGTCGATGGAAATCCCATCGACTATTCGATTAGTTAATTAATCTAAATTGAACATCCCTAACCACAAAGTGTCTCATGACTAACCGGGTTTGATTCCCCAATGACCTGCTCCGCTTTATGGAGTGTCACGGTGGTGGATTCATTATAAAACCTCTTGAGCGGTTGTGCAGCAGTTGTCTTATGTAACTAAAAATAGGCTGAAAGCAATTCACAGATGTTGTCAATTACCCATAAAAACAATGTGCATTCAGAAGTGTTCGTGTTGCGAAATGTGTTTGTGCCCCAGAGAATCTCTGGCTGTGGATCCTCAGCAGCACAGTTAAGCAATCAAATTCTGGTCCTAGAGATTTGTGGTTCACAAATAAATCAGAGGCATCTGAGCTTCTAAGGATCACTGCTCTGCTCTTCTGTTCCTGACCCTAAAATGTGCTGTCCTTTGGTACCATCTGGCCCAGTAGCTAAGTTTCCATAACTGAGCCTATATTATATCTACAGCCTCAATGGTAGCCTGATTTCCTAAAGTTGTTTCCTAGCTGATAGAGGAAGCAATGTCACAGTTCGTTGTGATGATAATCAAAAGAATAAGGAATCAGATAGAATAAATGATTGGTAATAAGAATAAAAAAGGAGAGATAACTGGTAATGTATCTAATAAGAGCCTGTTCAGTAAAATAGAATGAGGAAGGGGGAAATAGTCTATTTAATGCAAGACTTAATATAAAAATAGCACCGTTATGTTGGGACTGAAAAAACTAAAAACAAAAATACTCATTAATATTCTAGAGAAAACATATATAATGAAAATGAGGTCAATGCAGATACAGATTAAATACTGAAATTCATTGCTGTGCACTCTATTTCTATTCTTGGATGTATGTAATGCATTTAATTAGGGCTTTATTTTCTATAACCAGTGCCTGTGTAAAATGTGTGCCAAAACAGATCATTGCATACATTGGATGTAATTCTTACTCACGTTGTTACCTAAAACAGGTATTCTGTGCTAATTTTTGAGAGCTGAGTGCCCGATTCTGCAAACACTTACCTGTGTAACTTTTCTTGGCAATGCCAATTGTATGCATAAGTGTTTTCAAGATCAGTAACTTTTCCTGTGAAGTTTTCTTTCATTTATGAACAGTAGATATTCATCTCATGTTAGACCCCAGCCTTAAATTGTGAGAGATGAACTAGCCTCAGCAGGATATTGCCATAGGGAATTGACTACCCACCACTTAAAGATATAGTTCTGTTTCCCAAAGGTACTGTTATTCTCTCTAAACAAGCCCCTCTTTTATCCAGGCTGGATGTATTGATTGTCCCATAGTGTATGATCTCATTTTCTCTGATAATACAGAGGTGTAGACAGGTGACTTAAGCTCAAACGAGTGATGGACTTGGGAACATATGGGCAAGTAGAGATTTGGTGCGTGTGGCCAGAATGAGATGGTTTGTTCTTGAGAAGGCAGAAACATTATGATTTTTGTGTATGCATTGCTGCCTGTTCAAGTAACAGACCTCCAGTCAGCAGGGGGAAAGATACTACAGTCAGAGTCATTAGAAGGGCTCAGTTTATGGGAAAGTTAAAGGGAAAATTGAGAGCTTTGCCAAAAATGAGGAAGCCGCTGCCAGGAGGTAACAGCCCAACTGATGACAGCTTAATTAATATCATATTGGCTTAACAGTTTAGGAGACAGAAATCATCATCTGAACATGTCAAGAAGGTGTCAAGAAGCTGTAGACTGCCACTCAATCACTCACACAAACTCAGCTGCCAATCACCAAGCACTTCCACCTTCAATTAAGTGTTTAGCCCTTGTCTGCAGCAGTGTCAGTGCTCCTTGAAGAAAGATGTTATTGATCGTGTGTGTTCTATCCTGGTACCATGGAAAGTTACAGGAACATACGCTGACAAGCAACAGACTACATGGTTAAGCTGACAAAAATATTTCCACAGTCTGTAGTTGAGAGTGAAGCTGGAAAAGTATCCTTTGGTCTCCTCTCAAGAAAGAAAAACTAAGTGATTTTGCATTCGCCAAACTCAAATTGCAGATAGAAAGTTAGAACACAGATGGGTCATATTCAACTACACTCAGCCCATGGTATTTTTTTTTACTTAAAGTTTCATGCATGTGAAATAGAAGAAAAAAAAAGAGTCCATATTAAATGAAATGTCTGAGATCTTGTTGTAGCCATTTATGGCCATGATATGAGAGAGAAGGCGGGTGAGGTAATATCTTTTATTGGGCCAACTTTTGTGTATCTCAAAACTTGCCTCTTTCACCAACAGAAGTTGGTCCCACCTTGTCTCTTCAGAAATTAAATGGCTTTTGCATTTCTTTATAGATACATGCAGTGGCCAAAAAGACAGCAATGAATGGGGACATTTGCTTGATTAGATTGTTTTTCATCCAGAAAATGTGTGAGATGTATTAGCAGATCGGGTGCAGAGGAATGAATTAATAGTCATTATATCTACTGAGGAAATATAATGTATTTGCTGTCCAGAGATATGGGGTTATCTTGCAGTGGGCCTTATCTTCCATTGTGTTTTATTGGAATAATGCATTTATTGTATAGTGAAGCTCTGATATGTGGGAACCTTCTGTGCCCTGCCAACTCTGAATTTCCTCCTCTGCATTAAGTGAATGGAAAGAATTCACTCTCGTGTGTGTGTTTGCTAAAAGTCTCCAGTTGACACGAAGACCTTCAAGACCTCACTATTTCTCTTTCTTGGTTATTTCCTTTGGTGTCATTTCTTTATTTCTTGGCAAAGTTACGTTGTAAGATAAATATTAACTGCACCTTTTAAAAATCACTCCCCTGCTGTAACCTTTGTCTTGACTTCTTGATCTTTCACGCTCCACGTCCCATTCACCTGGCTAGATGGTTTTTCCTCGCCTCAATCATGGATTTCTCTCTAATGACCAGCATGTCTTTAGCCGACGAATCCTTAAGGTAGACGTGTTAAATCTGCTTCTTCTGGCTTGCTGTGCTTCCTTCTGAGTTACATTTCCTTATTAGCTAATAGCACCTTGAAAGTTATAAATATGATGAACCAAATCCTAAGAGGCCAGCTCAGTTTTTATTCAACTAATACGGTATGTGAAGGTAGTAGGAGTTCTGCCTATGTAAGAAAGGAGTGAAAAGTAAGGCCTTAAGGTACTGGCTCTTTGAGTGAGTCTTTGGGAGGAGGGGGAGGATGAGGATAATTCTATATGCTATACTTGTACCATACGAATAATAGTAACCACACCATAAAATAGAAGATCAGTCCAAATCTGCACGTCTTACCTAAAATTTTTGCTTAGGCAAAATTCAGTGAGAGACGTTCTGGCTGAAACAAAATTCAGGATTTACAGTAGAATTTTCAAGCCTCTGAGTGATTTAGGAGCATGAATCATGTTGAATGGCAATGGGATTTGTGCTCCCAATTCACATAAGCACTTCTAAAAACTCCACCCTGGTCCCTGATTTGTGAGTAGACCATATTAAACTGTTCCTGTCTGGTTCAGATTGGTATCCCAGCCAGATGTTGTTAAAGAGTTATGATCCATAGGGATTTTTATTGTTAACAATCAACTTGCATCGTAGAGGCTGGGCTACAGGATAATCTGAGTTGTAAACTTCATGCTGAAATCAGGAGTGCTCCTCCTTCTGACTAAGCTTTGCTGGATGTTAAGTGAAACAAGTGTATTGCTACCAAATTCGTCAGTGTTAAAATTGCAAGTGGAGACATAGGTTAATCTTTTCTTTATCTACTGGCGAAGTATGGTGCAAGTGGAGCATTTTAATTTCATTACATTTCAGTTGTACTAAAGGGATGTCATTTAATATGTTTTTTGGTTCCTTTATTATCTACTAAGTTGTGGTAGTACAAAAGTGTTTGAAGTAGGCATATCAAGTGTGTGCTTTAACATTCAGGGTATGTCTAGACTGCATCCCTCTGTTGGCAAAGGGATGCAGATTAGGCAGGTCGATATTGCAAAGGAGGCAGGGATTTAAATATCTTGTGCCTAATTTGCATAAAAATGGCCACCACGTTTTGCTGACTCAGCACTTTGTTGGCAAAAAGCGGCAGTCTAGTGGGGGATCTGTCGAGAAAGAAAGCCTTTTTTGACAGGTCCTGTAAACCACCTGCAAGGAAGCATAAGGGATCTGTCGAAAAAGGCTTTCTTTCTCAACAGATCCTCCTCTAGACTGCTGCTTTTTGCCGACAAAGTGCTGAGTCAGCAAAACGCAGTGGCCATTTTTATGCAAATTAGGCACAAGATATTTAAATCCCTGCCTCCTTTGCAATATTGACCTGCCTAATCTGCATCCCTTTGCCAACAGAGGGATGCAGTCTAGACATACTCTCAGACATTAATGTTAAACTAGTGTTTTCTATGCTTGTATTTATGGGGCACGGTCTGGTGCAATGTATTCAGACAAAACTCCTGTTGAAAGGTGAGGGTCAAAATCCCCAAAAAGGGATCAGGAAAAAATGAATAAAGACTGTAATGGCCTTTGGACCTCTTGTCTAAATAGGGGCTGCATGATTGGAACATTCAGTACGAGAATCTATTGGGATGGTCTTTGGAAAAATATGGGTCAGGTCAAAGGGAGGTGTTGAATATACAACATTTCTGAAAATCAGGTTATTTGGGTCCCTAACTGTGGAGCCTAAATTAGATATCCAAGATACCTGTGTTGAAAATCTTGGCCATGATCCCCATTATGTATTGGGTCACCCAGGAGCAAAAAAAGTACCTTGCATGCCAATAAATCTCTAAGGGGCAAACTTCCTTGGGATCTGCCCATCAGCTTTGTGCATTTATCAGAGATGAGATCTGCTTGCAGATCTAAGAACATAATTTTGACCTCAAGCTGTAGTCTTCTAAAATTGATACACACCCAGACTTGGGAGGAACCTGAGTCTTTCACAGGTTCTTGCTGCTGTCTCCTATTTAAGAAAAAAAGAAACCTTTCAGTTGTCTACAGTAATTTCCTCCAAAATGTGCAATGTCCCCGTGGAGTGTTTACAGCATCCTGGAAGAATGGTCCCAGTCTTTTACGAGGAAGCTGTACCAAGATATTCACCTTAAAAATCATCCAGTTAGATTTACCCTATTGTCGCCATGCATTAAAGCTAGACTGAGATGTGAGCCATGATCCGCACGGAGGAGCCCTCCTCACCTACATGTGCATGCACACACACACACACACACACACACCATAACTGGCTGTCTTCAAATTTTAACCATCACTATGGGATAAACATTCAAACAGTTTTGGTGGTGGTATCAGAAGAAGCCATCCCCCTAGCATGCCTTCTGCTGGTTTCTCCCCTGCTCAGTGTAGTTTGTTTGCCGTTAGCCCTTCTGGTGGTGTTTTTTCCCCACATCACAGTGCTTGTCTGAACTTCCAACAGGGTGATCAAGGTCAAGATGGAGCAGCTGGCCCACCAGGTCCCCCAGGACCACCAGGTGCAAGAGGACCCCCTGGGGATACAGGAAAAGATGGCCCCAGGGGACCACAGGGCCTACCTGTAAGGAATGATAAATACATTGTAAAACAGAATGGGGGCTTTCTATGAATGCCAACAGTATACTCCTATTATACTTAATCTGGGAGCCACCTGGCACAGGGCCATGTGGAGGTACTAGTGAGGGAAGGAGATGTAAGGAGCCCCCTCCTTCCCCCTTCTCCTATTCTTCAATGGTGCATCAGGATAGCATTCTCACCTAGCCTGAGCCACCTGGTACAGGGCCATGCCTGTGTGGGCCATGTGAAGGTACTAGTGAGGGAAGAAGATGTAAGGAGTCCCCTCCCTCCCCCTTCTCCTATTCTTCAATGCTGCATCAGGATAGCATTCTCACCTAGCCCTTCAGACCTTTAGGGGAGGGAGCTAATTATGACATAAGTCAATTACCCAGGATGCCAGGCCCCACCCTCTGCAGTACTTGCTAACAAAGGATGTGCGCTTCTCTTTAAAGCGGGCAATAGTGTTTACCCTAACGTGCAACATGGCTGCCTGTCCACAGGGTCCATCCTGCATGATGCCTGCAGTGCTCATCACTTCTAGGCTTTTAACAGAGGGCAGGATTCAGCCCACAAACTTTAGAGTTTCTCTTTCCTGATTACAACTGGAGGAGAATAGTCACACAGGTGGCATAAGAGCTGCTTCTAACGATCCCTCTGGCTGTAACCTGACAAGTGTCTTTAATTCTCTATAAGCGTCTGGTTGTTAGAGAAACGGTAGCTTCACAATAAGCGAAATCATGCTGTGGGCTAGAGATGGGAGGTGTGGGAGAGGGAGGTTGTGTAGTATTCTCAGCAGAAAATCTGAAATCAGAATATTTTAAAAAAAAATTTAAAAAGCAAAGTTTATCTCCTCTTTGATGAGCAATGTTCACCCAGCCCACTGCAAATCTTCAACTCATGGGAAATTATTATTATTATTATTATTTTTTACCTGCAGCTCTGGAATGATTGATGAGGTGTTTTGGTGTAAATAGCCATAATCAACTTCACTGACTTGGTTATCCTCTTTCCCCAGGGCTTGAGAGGAGAGCAGGGGGAAGCTGGAGTGATGGTTAGTAGTATTCTTCCTACCATGTTAATGTAGGCACTGATGGATTAATTATGCTTCGCTAGTGTGGAATGTTTATCTAACTCAGACGTGCATGTAGCTTTTGCCTTGTAGCTTTTCACTCTCCTCTGTAACCACAAAGAGCCAATTTTATTGTTTGCGCCATTGCTTGCTAATTAAAAAGTACAGAGCTATTGTACAAAGCTACCCATGACTAGAGGGTTCAGCTTAGAAAGTTGTACAGGAAACTGAACCAATCAGATACGGCCTTGATGCATCAACTCTCTCAGATGCACCATAAGACCCTGCACCTCCATAAACAAAAGAGGTGAGTGTCTCTTCTTACAGCTCCTCCAGAAAGCTCCTTTGACCTCAATTTCCACAGTCCTCCTTCCTCCCCCTGCGTCATCACATACTTTCAATATTTGGATTCTGATTAGTCAGGAAGTATTTTTACCTTTTGTGAAGATGGGGGTAATTTTTATTTCCACTGAGATTTTTTTTTTAAAAAATTGGTGAAAATGTTATTAATGCTACTGACTAGCATCATTGCAGCTATGATACTAAGAGTTTCACCCACGATTTTAATAGTGAAATTTGGGAATGAAATATGGCTGACAGATTCATTGGTGCCACCCAACTCCCCTAGAACAAAATTTATATTTTTCAGGAGCAGGTTTATTCTTAAGGGACACTGTTGGCAAATATGGATTATTTTCACTCAATTTCCTACAGCTTCTTCAGGCCAAGAAAAGAAGGTTGAGAGAAAAATAAATTCTGAGTATTGAACCATTTGGAAGGCCATGAAGTATTACACCTTTGCAGCATTAAATATATTTGGGCTTGGGGGTACTTTTTACACCTCTGGATTATCTACTTTTGTCATAGGCAACAAAAAGCAAGATTATTCAGCAAAGGAGCAGAGCATCTGAAAGTTGGGCAAAGATTTTGTGAAGACCAGGACTGATGCTGTAAAGACCAGGACTTTAACAAGGTTCAAAAAAAGAACTAGATAAATCCATGGAGGTTAGGTCCATCAATACTTGTTAGCCAGAATGGGTAGGAATGGTGTCCCTAGCCGCTGTTTGTCAGGGGCTGGAAATGGATGATAGGAGAGGGATCACTTGATGATTTCCTGTTCTGTTCACTCCCTATGGGGCATCTGGCACTGGCCAATGTCAGAAGAGAGGACACTGGGATAGAGGGACCTTTGGTCTGACCCAATATGGCTGTTCTTATGTTCTAAAGAACCAAAGGGAAAATATTCTGGGTATCTCAAGTAGAAGCAGAAGAAGAAGCAGAGAAATCGCCATGAAGAATTTACTGTCAACAGATTTGCTGTGTTGATGAGAAAATATGGAAGAGAAAAAGCACTTTGAGTTAGGCTGCAAGGCCTTTGCTGAATTTACTTGGATATGTTTGAGTTAAAAGAGGTGTCAAGTAGAAGCAGAAGAAGAAGCAGAGAAATCGCCATGAAGAATTTACTGTCAACAGATTTGCTGTGTTGATGAGAAAATATGGAAGAGAAAAAGCACTTTGAGTTAGGCTGCAAGGCCTTTGCTGAATTTACTTGGATATGTTTGAGTTAAAAGAGGTGTCCTCCACAGTAGAGTGGGTAAGGTCAGGTGTAACTGAAATAGGGAGAGTCTCAGAGGGGTGGGTAGCTTGTTAGTCTGTAACTTTAAAAAAAAAAAAAAAGTGGTCCTTTAGCACCTTAGAGGCTAACAAAAAGTTTATATAGCATCATGCTCGGAGGTCGCGTAACAATGTCACAGACACCACCTCCCACTGCTCCCGTTGGCCGCAGTTTGGCCAATGGGAGCAAAAGCGAAAACCTCCAGGCAGTGTATCCATGTGCTGCCATTGCCCCAGCAGAAGGGGGGAAATGTGGGAGGGGAGCGTGACAGCACACAAAGACACTTGCTTCCCCCCATGAGCTGGATCCAGCAGCGAGGCTCAGGGCGGAAGGGGGGAAATGTGGGAGGGGAGTGTGACAGCACACAGAGATACTTGCTTCCCCCCATGACCTGGATCCAGCAGTGAGGCTCAGGGCTTCCCTCCCACCCCCAGCAGGAAGACAGCGCTGGTGCTCCAACCTGGGGAGGGAGAGTGCGGAGCTAGAGTGCCAGTGAGGCTCCCTGCTGTGGGTGGGGGGAGCTGAACTTCAGGCCATGACCCTGAGGCACGATACTATATACATATTTTGATAGTCTCTAAGGTGCTACAAGCCCACTCATTGTTTTTTAATTTTTTTTATGAAATGGGGAATAATTGGCCAGGTGGCAATACTGTGGGAAAAGATGGGGGGATAATGGATCACAAATTGAGTCAGCAATGGCTGCAGTTGTGAAAAAGGGTAATATTCCGGAGCGTGTGAGCAGGAGTGTTATATGTAAGACGTGGGAAGTAATTATCCTGCTCCTGTTGACACTGGTGAGACCTGAGTATTGTGTCCAATTCTGGGCACCCCACTTTGGAGACGGTCCAGAGGAACGCAACAAAATTGATAAAAGGGTTAAAAAAAGCCTGAAGATTTTTTTTTAATGGGCATGTTTAGTCTTCAGAAAAGAAGACTAAGGGGGAGACTGATGACAGTCTCCAAATACGTGAAAGGTTGTTATAAAGAAGATAGGGATCAATTGTTCTCCATGTCCACTGAAGGTAGGACATGTAACTGATTTAATCTGCAGTAAAGAGATACAGTCTAGATATTGAGAAAAGCTTGCTAAGTATAAGGGTAATTAAACTCTGGATTAGGTTTCTGCGGGACATTGTGGAATCCTCATCATTGGGGGTTTTTAAGAACGTTAAACAAACATCTGTCAAGAATAAAGGTGATTTAGGTTTACTTGGTCCTTTCTGCTGGACTAGATGACCTTTGCATTCCCTGTAGCCCTGCATTTCTTTTAATTCTGTGGTCAGACTCCCAGGCTGCGTCTAGACTGGCAAGATTTTGCACAAAAGCACCCGCTTTTGCACAAAAACTTGCTGTCTGTCTACACTGGCCGCGAGTTCTTTCACAAAAACACTGATGTCCTAATGTGTGAAATCAGTGCTTCTTGCGCAAGAACTATGATGCTCCCACTCAGGAATAAGCCTCTTGCACAACTGTTCTTGCACAAGAGACTAGTGTAGACAGGCAACATGAATTTCTTGGGCAAGAAAGCCCTGTGGTTAAAATGGCCATCAGAGCTTTCTTGCGCAAGAGAGCGTCTACACTGGCACGGATGCTCTTGCTCAAAAGCACATCTCTTGTGCAAAGGCACATGCCAGTGTAGACGCTCTCTTCTGGAAGAGTTTTTGCACAAGATCATGCCAGTGTAGGTATGTATTGAACTGACAGTTTACTCTCTCTCTCGATATTTAAACTGAACTATGGTTCATTTCCATCTATTGCAAAGATTCCAACAGCTCTAACTTAATTTCCTCAAACCATGGAGTAAAGGGACATCCTTCCAAGCTTCCTACAGTTTTTCTAACTCCCTTTGGACCATTTTCCTTTTCCATGTCTAGGATAGCTGCTTGGAAACCTGTTTGTTACGATTCTGAGACTCACTCTGAATAACTCGTGTTGCTGACTTACCATGTGACAATAGAACATGGTCGTTGTGCCTGTTTGTCAGGAATGAATTTGCCCTTGGGCCTGGAATGTAATCTATCTATATTATCTCATAAACTGCTATATTTACAAGCTACTCTTATTTTATGCTGCTTTACTAACCAGTTGCCTGCTTCCCCACCAGCATATTATTGACACACATTGATTTGGTAGACATCCTCAGTTAACCATATTTTTGAGCCCTACTATGGAACAGAAAATGCCCCACGTGGGCTGTTCAGGTCTACATGAAACACTTCAATTATTTTCTATGCGAAGGTCTAGCCCAGAGTTATGGTACTGATAGGCCTGGCGATTCAAAGGGGCCCAGAGCTCTGGGTTGCCGCTGCTGCTAACATGGCAGTGGTGGCGACTGGCGCCCCAGGCCTTTTAACTCACCACCAGAGCACTGTACCACGGCTCCACCGTGGCTCCATGCGGCTCTGAGGGCTAGCTGCCCAGCCCCACCTCTTCTGCCCTAGCCCCTCCCTTCTGGGAGCATGGAGCCACAGTTTCTGCCCCCCCCCCATCTTACCCAAAAAACTGCACAGGGGCACTGAGTTAGGTTCTAAATCACTGTATGGAACAATTTTCATACAAAAAATGTAAACCTTTACCAAGCATTTTCTTTCTTATTTGTGGGTATACATTACATTGGTACTAAGAGTGTTTGTCTAATTCAGAAATAACCAAAACAGATATAGGTATTCTCGCCATGTCCACAGAGCTGTAAACATTGATAGGTCTATTTTTTAATGGTTTTATTTCCAAGTAAATATACAGATAAATTTTACTTTTAACAGGGCATAAGGGGACCTTCGGGACTAAAGGTAGGTAGTAAATATTTTATTATACCTTTAATTTTAACAAGGAAAGAATCTTCAAAATGCTTCTATGTGCCTGAGCAGTGTTTGCACACATTTTTTTTCAGTGTGATGTAATCTTCTCTTCATCAATTATATCTAAGAATTCCAGGGACTCAAAACTGCCCATTACCTGGAAACTGAAAACTGTATTTTGTATGGCCTTGTCTGGACAGAAAGTATGCTAATGTTAAGAGAAGTAAAACAATGAAATTCAGAAATTCATTTAAGGAGGGAATTTGCTTTTTTAATTTCAGCATGTTGTAGGAACAGTGGATTTTTTGGCTTTTCAGGAGAAGATAATGTAGCTCTACGGCAGAACAAAATTTCCACTTCAGCTGTTAATTTTAAAACTAATATGACTTAATTACTATATTTCATGTTACCTCTCTCATTTCCCTTTGTTTGTTTGTTTTTGTTTATGAAGGGTGAGCCTGGTTTTCCAGGGAGAAAGGTAAAATATTGATTTTTTTTTTCCTTTTTTTTTTTTTAATGTTGCTCACAAAAGGTTCTGTGAGTCATTTGCAGAAACCAGGTTGAAGAAGGCCTTAGTCATGGTTGGTTGCATTGATTCACACTTTATCTTCTTCAGGATTTCCAGCATGTGTTCAGTTAAAGCAGTGTTTCTCAAAATGGTCCACGAAATCACTTTGAGAAACCTGCTAACTGGCTGCTCCAGTGTATTTACAGCCAGTCCCCAACTTACAAATGCATCGACGTATGACCAACCGCATTTACAACCCGCCTCCCATTAAGCGCGGCCCCGACTTACGCGCTTACGAACAGCGCGGTCCCATTGAAATGAATGGGGTCTGACTTACAAACACATCGAGTTATGACCAAGTGCTTGGAACGTAACTCGTTCATAAGTCGAGGACCAGCTGTACTTACTGGCACTATGGCCACAGAGCCTCGCAGCTCCCACTGGCCCCGGTGCACCATTTGTAGCCTAGAGGAGCAGTGGGAAGTGGCGGCCCAGCCCACGCCGCTTCCCGCAGCTCCCCTTGGCTGCCAATGGTAAACTGGAGCCAATAGGACCTGTGAGGCTCCATGGCCGTGGTGCCAGTAAGTAAACATGCCGGATCGGCCAGTAGCAAGTTTCTCGAAGTGGTTTCATGGACCACTTTGAGAAACACTGAATTAAAGAACAGCAGATCTGTGACCTTGAAACACTGTGTGCCATCAGCATGTTTTTCATTATGAAGATCAGCCCAGATGCAGTAATTACGTTAGTCCAAGGGACAAAGACTAAAATAGCCAATTCCACACAAGGCGGTAGACGTGAGCCCTTTTGCTGAATTAATTGAAAATAAAATGGGTGAATTTTGGACAATGCTGCTCTCCATCAGCCCAATTCTCTTGTAGGACTGACCAAATAGAGACATCATCATCCTCTGAGGAATGGAGGCCATTGAACATAATCACTGTGTTTGGAGGAAAGTATACTCTCTGGCAAGGAAGGGAGAGCAACTTACACAGAAGCTATTGTTCTTCTACAGGAGACAGACCGTTCACCTAGGACAGGGTTCCCCAACCTATGGGTCGGGACCCAAATATGGGTCACCATTGTATTTCAAAAGGGTCACCAGGTGGCTCCCCAGGTGGCTCTTAAGGAGTCATTTACACATTTTTTGAATTGCCCTGGGTCACCAAGTCTTCCTGAATTGTCAAAATGGGTCCCCATCTGGAAAAGGTTAGGAACCGCTGATCTAGGAAGAGGACAAATGTTGCTCTGAGTAGCCTCTAAAAACTAGGGAACCTTGCATGAGCAATCCTGTTTAACACATTTTTATATTGGTGTCCCGGGCGGGTCTATATCAGCATCTCCCACAGAACTGAAACCAGAACTCCAAGGGCTCATCTAGACTACACGGAAGATTCAAAAGATGATATGCAAATTCTGCGGAAATTTGCATATCTTCTTCTGATCTCACTTTTGAAAGTGAAAGTAATCGAGACGTGGGGTTTTTTTCAGCAACTGCCCCCCCTTTTTTGAAAAGCTGCTTTTCCTCAAAAAATGAGGTTTACGCAGCTTTTCAAAAAAGAGGGAGGGTTGCTGGAAAAAACGCATCTGGATTACTTTCACTTTCGAAAGCTTCGTTTTTGAAAGTGAGAGCGGAAGAAGATATGCAAATTCTTCTTCCACGGAAAATGCATATCCTCTTTCAAATCTTCCACATAGTCTAGATGAGCCCCAAAGGTTGATGCCTTATTCCCTCCTTAATTCCCTTAAGTAAGTCAGTTAAGTTAAGGCAATCAAGGCCTTGTGTGTTTGGGGGCAGAACTGGGCTCAGAATCTTCAATATCTAAGAGTTAAACTCTCATTCTCTAACTATGTGCAATCTTTAAATGTAACAATGAAAGGAAGTGACAAGCTAAACCTGTGAATCTCCTTTTAAACAAGTTAGAATTCTTAGAGAATACAATGCATTCAATTTCCAAGTACAGGCAGAACCTTCGCATATATTATAAGCCAGCTTTGCAAAGGCTTGTTGGCTTCCAATTGGAGTCAGGCACTTCACCTGCTTAGGCTTTTATGAAAATCCCAATTGGTGCCCAAAGGCCCTGTAAATCTGGCCCAATCTCATGACTACGTCAGTTAATATGATGAGTATATTTGAGCTCGTGCCCAGTGGTGATACTGGCTGGCATGTTGACACCTGTATAGTCTCATGGTTTGATGAACACATTATTCATATTTATATTTCACCAGGGTGATGATGGGACTCCAGGAGACCCAGGACTTCAAGGGCCTAAGGTAAATTTCAGCTTTATATCTATTCACTTGGTGGTGGCTGTCTTCACCACCTGGGACCCGTTGCTGGCCAGAGAGCATACACTTTTCATCTGAAACTGAAAAAATTAACAAAAAGAGGAACAACAGATGTGTAATCTATACACCTAGGCTGTGTCTACACTGGCATGAATTTCCGGAACTGCTTAAAACGGAATACTATTCCGTTTTCAGTTTTTCCGGAAAGGGAGCATCTACATTGGCAGGCTGCTTTTCCGGAAAAGCCCTTTTTCCAGAAAAGCGTCTGTGGCCAATGTAGACGCGCTTTTCCAGAAAAGAGCCCCGATCACCATTTTCGCGATCGGGGCTTTTTTCTGGAAAAGACTACTGGGCTGTCTACACTGGCCCTTTTCCGGAACAGTGTTCCAGAATAAGGACTTATGCCCGAGCGGGAGAAGAATAGTTTTTCCGGAATAGCATCTGATTTTGTACAGTAGAGCATCGTTGCTTTTCCGGAAATTCAAGGGCCAGTGTAGACAGCTCGCAGCTTATTCCAGAAAAGCGGCTGATTTTCCGGAATAAGTGGCCCAGTGTAGACAGAGCCCTAGGGTATTAATGGCAATTAAAATATTTTCACTTGTCATTTGTTATCTATTGACCTGAAAGTGTCGACAGTCATTAACTAAATGATATGCATGCCAGTTTGTCTATGCTGTAATCAAGGGGTATATTTGTAGCTTTTGAGGACGTGCCTGCACTATAATCTAGCTATCTTGGATCCCAAAGCAGTGAAGGTGCAGCAACACAAGCCTCAGCTCAGGCTAGCCCTGCAAGTCATGACTCAGATTATTACATTAATTAAATCACTCTTCGATTAAATCAAACATGTGATTGCAGTGCAAACATACACCAGGAGGTATCATTTAGAACCTACTCTTGCAAAACTGAATCAAGCAAAGCCAATGGGAACTTCTCTGACCTGAAAACTCAGGTTGCATGTGGTCCTTATAGTAACTTCACTCAGTTCCATGGAAGTCTACCAATATGGGGCCCACATGTTCTTGGTGGCTGCAATTTTAATTTGTCAGTGAATGTGTTCTTTGCTACTGTGTTGAAAGCCTAAAAGCTTCATTTTATTTTCCCAATTCCCTTATGGCTACAGGCAGCATTTGAAGACATTTTGGAATAAAAGCAAAGCTTTGATCATTCCAGCATGTGTATTGAAGTTTAAGATTAGACAAAAGTGCTGTAACCTTAAGAAAATTGCTTTCTCTCCTATCAAGTTAGACTCATGATGTTTTGGCTTCAACATTCATATCTGATGAGGTTCAGTGTGAATTATCTTATTTTCAGGGAGAGCAAGGAAGCACAGGTCCCAAAGGAGAAAAGGGAATAGATGGATTGCCAGGATCAAAGGTAAAGAGAAGACAAGTTCATTAAGCTGGAAGTTGGTCATCACTGCATTAAGGCAGTTGGTTTCAGTTTCACAGAGTTTTAAACCTTCGTTTTCCAAAAATTGCATAAAAATGACAAAAACAAAACACAGCCTGTATACTTTGATGAGCATTTTACCTTTCATGGTGGGTTGAGACAGAGAGAATAGCGTTCCAAAATCACCACTATTTGACATTTTTGACTGCACTAGCCTTTCTTTAGAATCCCCTTGCAAGAAGACTGAAGTCTCTGTCCTCTGTTTTGCATGTGTTGATTACTACTATGTCCAGTCTACATAGCTAGCGTTAGTGAGTCTGACAATTTTACTTTTTCTTCATAATTGACAAGAAATGCAGCACCTTGACCTCCCAGTATTGAGCAGTGACAAAATAACATGTCCACAGCTACTAATGCTTTAATGGTATCTTCATCCAGGTATGTTTCTGAGCAGTCATACTCCCCATCGTTCATGAAACTATTAAAAAATGAGAGCTAGAGAGTAACAGAGTTCATTTGTGCTTCCTGATACTCCTGCTTCAAGCTGGTATTGGCTATTAAATGTTTACTTCCAAGTTTAAATGCTTAGCAATTGCAATGGCATCACCTCGTGACTTGCAAATATTTATATCTGAGAAGTCAAATCTGTATAAACGGTGTTGTTGTCATACATCTGATCAGACTGGGCTCCTTTGTCACTGGCTAGATTATTTTAGCAATGCACATGCTTCATAATATCTAAAATCCGTTTGACCGTGACCAAGTGGAGTTTTTTATTGTGACTATACATTTACCTAAAATAAATATTTGACTATTATGCAGTAAATGACTTTTTTCACAATTCTTCCTACTTTTATATTCCTATTATACTTCTGAATAATAAATGGGGTGATCTTTTTCAGGGTGAACCTGGTGAGAGAGGAGGAGATGGACCCATTGGACCAAGGGTATGTGTTGTTCTTAACATGAGTCAGTTTCCTCCATTCAACTCTATCATCTGTTGCTGCATAGTTGAAGGGTTCAGTACAATCTAAGAATAATAAGGAAGATGAAGCATATTAAAACAATCACCATATAGATACTGAGCCAAATTAATGCAGATAACTCCCATGAAATCAGTGAAGTTGCACTCAGTTTTACTACTGACCTCAGGGAGGTGCTGACTGCTTGCTGTCACAGAAAGCTCCCATGACATTTTTCAGTAAGAATAAGGCTGTGCGAGTCAATTTCCAGCTTAGGTAATTATGTTCTATCTGTCACTGAGGCTACGTCTACACAGGCAGCTTCTTGCGCAAGAAGCCTTTTGCGCAAGAGTTTTTCCACAAAAACTTCTTGCGCAAGAGCATGTCCACATGTCAAAGTGCATCGCAAAAGTGGTGTGCTTTTGCGCAAGAGAGTGTCTACACTGCATGGACGCTCTTGCACAAAAAAGCTCTGATAGCCATTCACAGAAACCTTGCAGTGTAGACGTAGCCTCACTGTATACTTTCAGTTCCTTTCAGAGTTTGCTCTGTATAGCTGCATTCTTGGTATTGGTTGCATGTACAGCTGCGTTTCTCAAACTGTGGGTCCCGACCTTCTGGGGGGTCACCAGCAACTTAGAGGGGGGTTGCGAGCAACTTAGAGGGGGGGGTCATGGTATCACAACGTTTGAGAACCCTGATGTATAGTATTTATATGGAGACAAATACCAGCCTCGCTAGGGGTCAAAATAACCCTTAAACCCATTTTAGCTGTTGTTTTCATGCTGCCCACTTTTCTGGGGTTAACCCCACAGCTATTGTCACAAAGTTTGCAATTTGCCTTTGTCTCCAGGGTCCACCTGGCCTGAAGGGTGAACAGGGAGATACTGTAATAATTGACTATGATGGCAGAATCCTGGATGCACTCAAGGTACCTCTGCAATAAGATGTTGATAATGTGTTATATGCGCCTGTTCTTAATTGGAATTGAATTAACCAGCTGAGATTACTGCCCCCAATTGAAATTCAGTGACTCTGAGAGAGAACTGACCTTGCAACACATGCCAGAGTAGTTTCGGGAAGTTCGTTCACACGGCAGGGTTTGATTGATGCAGATTGATGAGCAAGGATTGCAAGATAAAGGTTGCAAGGGAAGAGGAAGGTTGAACCTCACATTGCCCACATGGGACCCTCTCTTTCCTCAAGCTGCTTCTTCCCCATTGATGATCATCTCTGGGCCTGAGAGAAAAATCCCATAAGCATTATGGGATTTTTGGAAAGACAGCCAAAAGCCAAGATGCTCCATAACCATGAGTGTGTATTGCTAGGAAATCCCTGTGCTGAGGATTCTGAAGGTTCTCAAAGTCCCAGCAGAGCAGAGCTGCCGGGCATTGGGAGCAGAAATGTTTTCACTTTGCGTGCTCCTCCAGGCCTTGATTGGCCTGGAGGCGAGGGGAGCAGCAGGGCCTCCGTGGGCTGGATCAAACCACTTGGCGGGCCAGATCCGGCCTTAACAGGCCCTTTTGTCCACCCCTGATGTAGTCCAATCCCCTACCCTCATGGCAAGGCTAAGTGTTATCTAGACCAAGTAGACTAAGTAGTATCTAAGGCTCTAGACTAAAGCAGATACAGGAGTAGGAACAAGAGGTCTTCCTGCTCAACTGCGGAGGGTGGAGAAGAAATGCAGAGAGAAGTGGGCATGTTTGTCCCTGGAAGGCCTGTTTGGGGACTAAGGGAAGCAGGCCAATCAGGTGTTCTGACCCAACCCAGCAGAGACTGTCGGAATAGTAGTCAGCCAACCCCCAAGACACTGGAGCTGAGAGTATGGAGAGATTTCAGGGTCTAGCGGGACTGCATCAACCTCTGATTGGGAGTGGAAGGACTAGGTGCAGTGAAACACCTGACCCAGGAGCCCTGAAAATGTGCAAATGTAGATCGAGTTTCAGAATCACCACAAAACCTTGAATCAAGTGAGTCTCAGGATTGCGGCAAACATAGCTCTAAAGATGGCTAAGTACCTTGTTTTCTAAGGGCACATCTACACAGCAGGGCTTAACTCAAAATAAGCTACATAAATTGAGCTATGTCAATTAAGTAGCTTATTTTGAAATAGCTTATTTCAAAATTGGGAGCGTCTACACAGCACTTATTTTGAAATAGAACACTTTTCCTTCAACTTTCCTTACTCCAATGAGGGTTACAGGAGTCAAGTAAGAAGTCCTCCAGCTTGACAATATTTCGAAATAACTGCCTGCTGTGTAGACACGGACTAAGTTATTCCAATATAATGTTGCTGTGTAGACGTACCCTAAGTGATACATAGTGACTTGATGAGCCAAATCTGATCTGTGCCTATGACTATAGTGAGATTGTAAGATGCAAAAGAAAGCACCATTTGTCTCTGTCAGTTGTATAAAATGAAAACAGTAAGATAATGTGTTCAGAAGGAAAATTTCCTGAAGTTTGTGTAAAGAAAAATTATGCCCCTGTTGTGTAGCCTGTACTTGCTATTCCAGAAAAGGAATGAGACCAATCTTAATGCTGCCATTTTAGCAAAGATCAAAGAAGCTGAGTAGAATAAATATTTAATTACAGACACATTTGAAAACCATTCTAATTGTTTTATAACAGGCTGCAGGGATACATAAAGTGATGGTAATTACTGTCTGCCAGATGTCTGCATGGGCTGCTTGGACAGACTAGCTCAGCATGTGGCACTGTGAATGGAATTTGTGGACTGAGATCATATGAAAGCTTCCACCAAAGAGTTGGAGTTTCAGTTTACTAACAAAATGACCTACGGTCTCTGAGTCGGTTGAATTTCAAGTGCTGCACGTTCAGAGGCTCGGGTAAATTATTAAAATGGCACTGACCTTGCCTCTACTAGCCGTCTGCTTATTCGCTGGGATCTCAGCCATTTCTCCTGTTTGCCCGCTCATCACTTCTCAGTGAGCAAGCCTCTTAAAACTGTTTTGTTTAAATAGTTTAAACTGTGGTTAAATGTAACTTTATGAAGTACAACAGTGGGGACCAGGAGCTCAGAATACTGCAATACGTTCGTTGCTGGTTGATTTTCAAGGTGAAGGAGTAGATGTGGGATGTGATACCCTTTGGGGATCATCTTTAAATGACAAAATACATTCCCCTCAAAGGGCAGCGCCTCTGATAAGAATAGGTTACATGAGCTTGCAGACATTTAGCAGAAGGTTTTCCTGCTGTTAATTTCATGTATGCTTTTCTGTTTCTTTTTAATCATGTCATATGTGGCATAATGGAGCTTGTGTTTCACCTATCAGTAGGGTTGAGTTGAATTGATGTTGATTTTTCAGACATCATGGTCAAGTTGAACCATAGATGAGGGAATTTTGATGATCTAATCTACTGTCTCTCTGAGTTGGTAAACACCACTCCTTTTGGACATGTTCCCAGCATAGGGTTAGCCAGCAATGAGGAGATGGAAAAAGTAAGATTCCCACGGGCAACAAGGCAGATTTTGGACCTGGTCTAGTTACATCTACAACTGTGTGCTTTTTAATCACATGTATGTCAGTACTAGCATGGACCCCTATGCCAGATGGGACTGTCTTTTTTTTGAGTTAACATTTCCTATGTTGGGTAACAACCTCATCGGTTTAATATTAGCTGATCTTGTCCCAGACATTTGTACTAACGATAAGTTAGAAAAATATTTACTATAAAATATGTGGTTACATCTACACTTGGAGCAGTGATTCCTAGCTTGTGTGGGTATATTGTGGATACGCTCTCAAGGAGGCTAGCCTATGCCACCTCTTGCTGCTGCCCAGGCTGCCTCAATTGTGCTGCCATTTGATGAGATCAAGCTGGGAATCATACCCCTTGCTCCAAGGGTAGACAGAGCCTGTAGGAGAAGCTGTGCTCATGGCTGATCTCCAGAGTGAAGCGAGCATGTGCTGGATTAATAATGATACTCTAGATGGTAATATTTATGGCATCTTTCTTTGCTGTGTTTTCAGGGCCCACCAGGTCCCCAAGGGCTACCAGGCCCTCCAGGAGCTCCAGGATCAAAGGTTGGATTGACTTCTGTTATACAGGCAGTATTTTATGGCATGCAGTGTATACAATGCCCACTGACCACATCCTGACATTGATCCTTATGCAAACCTCCTAGTGAAATCAATGTTCTCCATGTGGAACTATGGCGGGATGTGTCCCAGTGTGATGATATCGTACAGCAAGATTGTAGAAATGTCTCCCATCCACAAAGGGAAGAAAGCAGGAAAGGATCAAACCTGGATATATTAACTCATGAAACTTACTGCAAGAATGTTCTAAATTCCCTCCCCTCTGAACAACAAAAGCTTTTGACCTAGACACAAAAGTACATTTGTTGGGGATTTTTTTTCACTCTATCACTGGGCCAACACCCTTCTACTGGCCTTACCTGAATGAATGTGTTATACTGTACTTGGAAGTGAGACCATACATATTCCTGTATGTACTGAGTGAAATTCAGAACACATTGAAGTCAATGGCAGTTTTGGCATTGATCACAATCGAGTCTGGATTACACTCTGATAAAGAAAATGCTTGTGAGCATGCACTGTGTTTGGCTGTTGATAGTCTGACTTAAATTCTAGGTTTAACTTGTTTTCTCCTATCAGAAGCCATATGTTTCACATACACAGGTTTAGTATCTTACAGTACCAACCACTCCTTGTGGAATGGTTACTCTCCTGTTACTGATCAACGGACAATAAATAAGTCAATCAGTTACAATTTCGTAAAACAAATGTGCACAAAAGTATCTTACTGAGAAATGATTTTTAGATCAGTTCAGAATAATTTGCATCTCTGACCATCAGTTCAGCCCACATCCTACTTGACTAATGAAAACTGGCACTTCACTTGAAAGAGAAAGATTCCATTTTCTACCTCAAGCTGCTCATATGCTGATGACCGTTGGAATTGGTACAAAAGGAGAATTTACTCATATAGCCAGTTCTTTAGTGAAATTATTTTCTGATTTCACTTGATGTTATACCTTTATTTGTTTGTACTGCTGTAGGGGGAGCTTGGATTGCCTGGTCCACCTGGAGTTGATGGAGAGAAGGTACCAGATGTATGGTTTTATGCAATTAAGACTGTAATCATATGGCAATTGGCAGCTGAATTAAAAGAATTCCATAAGTGGCCATGCTACGGGCTGTTTGCAAAAATAAATCTGAACGTGTAAAGACAGTGATGCTCCTCTGCTCTTCTCTGACCTCACTGTCTTTTGCTTATGGCCCCTTCAGTCACTTATCTAGAGGATGTTGTTCACATCCCCCACACATTGAATTAGTTTTATGTGTAGCTCATGAGACACTTGCTCAAATTCTTTAGTAAATCTTACATTTTTGCATTCTCTTCAGCCATGAAATTGAGTTCTACTGCACTGCAAAATCAGTATATACAATGTTTAATATGAAGAGATATTCGGTGGGTTCTGAAGTAGTAGTAATATGGAGAATAGGGAGCAAAAGGGAAATGTCTATTGCACTTTTCTATTGATAGCTGGAACTATAGAGATGTACCTTTCTCCTAATAAAGCTCTGTTCTGTGATCTGCAGGGCTCTAAAGGAGACCAAGGAAACCCTGGAATAATGGGACAGAAAGGAGAGCTAGGAGAAATGGGCTTGTCTGGCCCACCGGTATGTCTGTCTGTCAGTATATGCACGGGGCTTATTGTCTCCAATTTTGTTTCCGTAGATGTGTATATTGGTTTGATACCTATTGGTTTGATAGGTGTATTATATTAGTTTAAAGTTCATCCCTATCAAACCAAAATTACTTATATAAGCTTAGTTCTCCTTGTTAACAGTAATACTTATACCATATGTCAAAACTCTCAAGGAGCTGAAGAAAGATTTGCAGATGGCATTGCTTAGCTAAAGTCACTTTTTATATATATATAAAATACTGGCAACAAACAAGGGCGATTAACTAATAAGAGGCACATTTAAAGCAAGGGGCATGAGGAATGAGCTGCATGTTCACTGCCCAGTGTTGTTTCTTCAATAGTAATACCACAATCAGTACAGTAAAATATTATTGTATAAACATTCACTTCCCGTGTTTTTCTTTCTCCGTTTGTATGTTTTGTATCTTGAGTGGCACTGTCATGAAAGATATTTTGTTCTTCTTCAACCTGTTTTCCATCAGTACAGTAAGTTGGAAAATACACTAGCTCTTGGAAAATGTGAAGCAATCTCACTTGAGGGGACAGAAGTGTGTGGATTTATTGAGGAGCAACGTGTGATATCTAGAGAGGTTTCCAGTGGAAGTTGCAGAAACATAGTCTCAGGCCCCCAAACAATATAGTTCTCATAGACCCCTGCAAAGCACTTACATTTATTTATGTGCTTAACTCCCATTTGAAATCAGTGGGACTTAGGCATGCGTCCAGTTCTGGGTGCCACGCTTTTTAGGAAAGATGTGGACAAACTGGAGAGACTCCAGAAAAGAACAAAAAGGACAAAAGGTTCAAAAGAAACCTGACGTAGGAGGAAAAGTTAAAACAATTGGCATGTTTAATCCCGAGACAAGAAGACCGGGGGAGAGGGAGGGCATGATAATCTTAAAATATTTTGTGTTCTGTTATAAAGAAGATGAGGATCAATTGTTCTCTGGGTCCACTGAAGGTGGGACGAGAAGAAATGGGCTTACTTTGCAGCCAGGGAGGTTTAGGAAAAGTTTTCTAGCTATGAAGGTAGTTAATTTCTGGAATAGGCTTCCTAGGGAATTTGTGAAATCCTCATCATTGGAGGATTATAAGAAGAGTTTGGCAAACACCTGTCAGGGATGGTCTGAGTTTACTTGGTCCTGCCTTGGCCCAGGGACCTGGACCTGATGTCTTCTTGAAGTCCCTTCCAGCTCTTTCTCGGGCTGAGAGTTAAGCATGTGCTTAGCTGAATCAGAGCCATAAACATTAAGGAGCCGATGGTGCAAGATACTCCATGTGGGCGAAAATCAAGGCAGCTCTGTGCTGACGGAGGGGTCTGCAAATGCAGACCACAGCAGGCAGCATCAGAGCCTGACACGTCCGTGCCATTCCTCTGCTTCAGCAATAGATGAAACACTAGCTTTCCCAGTAGGCAGCCCACGTTAAAGCCTTACTTCAACAAAATGCCAAAATGCAATAATCCCATTGAAGTGAATGCGAATTTTACTTCAGTACAGACTTCAGGATAAGGGGAGGAAAAAATATTTTTCTCTCTTCTTATAGTCTTTTTTGGAAGCCTTAGAGGTGTAAATTCTGCATTATATTCTTACCATTTAGGGAGTTGATGGGCCAAAAGGAGAGAAAGGAGAAACCGGATCCTCGTGTTTGCAGAACAACCATGTAAGACACTAGCACAATGTTGATACTGTTAGTTTTAGAAGATGTTAGCATGTGCATAGGCTGTGTGTTATATTTTTAATCCTTTGGTACATGTATCCATAGTGGGGAGCAACACACTGCATTTTCAACAAGAATTGGTGTGCAATTTTTCATTGCAGAGTGTAGCGTTATGGTGCATCTGTTGATAACTCTGCAAAGTTAGATATTGTTATTTGCCTTAGGCCATGCCTTTACTTCCTGGAAGATCGACACTGTGGTGGTTGATCTTTCAGCATTTGATTTAGCAGGTCTTGCTGAGGGCGCTCCTGTCAAGCCCAGTACTCCTCGAATAGCGAGAAGTCACGGAAATCAACAGGAGCATTTGCTGCCATCGACCTCCTGCTGAGGAGATGGCGCTGAAGTTCGAATTAAGGTATGTCGACTCCAGCTAAGTAATTAACATACCTGGAGTTGTGTATCTTAATTCAAACACGCATGAGTATAGACATGACCTTAGACTGTACCTTGATCATTGACGTGTTGAACAGCGATGTGGTAATTGTCCTAGTCTGAAAAAGCATCCCTGGGTCTTTACTGTGGTTTTATAATAGTTACATACATATATTGTTTTCTCTTTTTAAATTATTTTCTTTAAAAAATCCAAATTTATAGTAATGACACCAGAACTAAGATTATTTGCTTTTAATCCAATAGGAAGCCATTCTCCTCAGGTTTGCATGAAAGGAGATAGATTCCTAAGAAATTCTGAGATGTCACATTTCAAGCACTTGTATTTTGTGTCCAGAAAATCCTCTGAATTTGAATACGTTGTTCAGTTGTTTGGGCCCAGTTCCACGAAGGTAGTTCAGTACCCAAGTCCTCTTTTGAGGCATGACTATGATCCAGCACGGCTGATGCCTCACGTTGTATGCACCTAAACTGAGTCAGCACCTAAACTTTTGCAATAAGAGTTATCTTGGTGCCTGTTTCTGGGCATATGGACTGCTGCCTCCTTCTGAATCCCAACCTGATCCACAAATAGGGGGAAGATAGGTACTCTGCACCAGTGTTTCCTCTCCTTTGTCCCATCTGTATGTGGAATAAATTTTGTTATGTTCACTGAGGCATGTGTGAACGTGCACCACCAATAGAAACACATGCTGACTGCTGTAGGAGCACTGCTAATCAGTCAGGTGGCATTTGACACTCTCCTTGGTGCGCCTGCCCTCCCTCCCTTCCCCCCAAAGGGCTCAGCTTACAGGAAACACTGTAAACCAGTTAAACTATATTTTTAACTGGTTAACTTCCTGCCACCGTGCAGTGGGCCCGGCTGGGCTGGAGCATGCTGCTCTGGCTGGGCCGGGCTGGTTAACAGATTACCGGTAAGCATCACTCTGAAAGGGTAATTGCTTACCAAGTAACTGGTTAACCAGTTACTCATTTACCCTAGTACTCACCTGGGATATAGTAGACTGCCAGTTCAGATTCCCCATCTGCCTGATAAGAAGTGATCAGAATATGGAAATGCCACCTCTCAAGTGAGCACCCTACCACTAGCTATAAAGTCATTCTCACTTTCTCTGGCCCAATCAATATTTAATTATGTAATCAGAGTGGAACAACTGCAACAGGAGAGCTTGAAGAACACCCATCTCAGAATACCCTGTAATTCAGCTGTCATATTGGTCCCACAGCTCTCAACCTTCTCCCAAACAAGCCCCTTTGCGGATCTAAGTGTCAGAGCTGTCCCATCCATAGCACGGTTCAGGGCAGCTACCCCAGGCCAGGTGCTTTGGGGGGCTGCCCAACCTGCAGGGCCCAGGATAGCCTGGGGGATCACCTGGAGCTGGCAGCAAGGGGTGCGCCTGCCCCCAATCTTGCTGCAGCGTCAGGAGCCATGGGAAGTGGAGCCATGCACCACCGCCATCTCCCAGAGGCGCCTCTCTCTGGTCCGTGTGAAGCGGAGCAACCTGGCTGGGAGATGGGGGCAGAGCTGGCTGCTGCGTGGCTCTATTTGCCGTGGCTCCCGCCACCACAGTGAAGGTGGTGGCCTGTCACCCTGCACCAGGCCCCTTCGGTATTGCCCGGTTTGTATTGTTATGGGGAAGGGGTGCAATGGAGGTGGGAGAGAGCGGAGCAGAGGTGGGAAGAGGTAGAGTGTGACAGAGCAGAAGTGGAGTTTGTGGGAAGGGATGAAATGAGGGAAGGGAAGGGGCAGGAAGGGGCAGAGCATGGGCAGAGTGGGGATTGTCCCAGCCCCGCACCCTACTAGGGTTGGCTCTGCCAAGCATTATTAACTAAAACTAGTTAAACAGTAATCAAAGACGACGCTATTCATGTATTAACATGGCATGATATGGAACGTGCTACGAAGCCACTTTAATGTATTATGAAATTCCTATGTTTAGATCATACCAGAACCAGGACCCCCTGGATTGCCAGGCCCTATGGTAAGTTTATGAGCAACATCACTTACACTAGAGAACATCTGGAAACCCATGAACACATTTCCTGCTGTCCTGCACACTTTAGACTGCAATGAGCAGTCTGAAGACTTACGGCTTGTGAATCCCCACTGTGATTTCCAAGCTCACTTGAGCACTATTTCTTGTGTTCTGTAAAGTTCTCGCTAGAAAGGTACCAGAGGGGTATCCGTGTGAGTCTGTAACTGAAAAAAATTTAAAAAACCATGAATGGTCCTGCAGTACCTTAGAGACCAACAAAAATGCAGATGGTGTCATGAGCTTTCGTGAGCACAACCTAGAAAGGTATGAATGCTTGGTTTCAGGCCCTGAATCAGGAAGGTGCTGGAGCACTCGTGTAAATGTAGGTAAATGCAAATGCTTAAATATCTTCCTGAACCAGGGCCTAAGATTTGTATTTGCTTTTGAGAATAGTGCATGCCCAAGTATTTTAGGAATAGAAATAGCAACAACTACCATCAGCATGTTCATTTGTATAATCAGGCTGGACCATGAGCCTACTGAAATCAAGGGAATTTTGCCATTCCAGGATTGAGATTCCCCAAGCTTATTCAACACAGACCTCTTAAGATGTCTGTGCGGTAGCAAATTTAGGGCAATACAGAGCCTTGAGATGCACCCAAAGATTACAGACTAGTCAATGTATTGGGCGCATTTGTAGGTGGGAGAAGAAGGCAGCAGCCTGTCTTGGGAGCTATTCTGAGAGACCGAATAAGGGAGCCCTTCTGAAACACAATTTAATGAAGATGGCAGCTATAGTTTCAGCACAAGGGATGAAGAAGTTGCTTTCTAATGCACTTGGATTCAGTAAGGATAATAATGTTGGGCTGTAAGTAGTGATGTTAAATTCTCAGGAATAAACTTTTGGAGAATATTCTCAAGAATGTTCTTGAGAATAATCTCCAATGCGAGAATTTTTGAGAATTTTCTCTTAAATACTTGTTAAATAGTTTTTAAAGAATTTTACTATTTATAATAATGTCTTTCTTTAATAAAACTTCAAGAATCATGAAAAAATTCCAATTGTTAAAATGAAAATTCGGGAAAATAAAGAAAAAAAGACAGAGGTTTAAATTACTAAAACTTTTATTACAAATCTTCTGATGCACGATACAAATATTTTTCACTTTCTGGATTAAACACACGCCTAATCGGAATCTGCACTTTCCGAATCTGACCCATATATTTCTATCTCTTCTTCTTCCTCATACCTATCCTCTTCTTCGACTTCTTCTTCTTTCTCTTCAGCATCATCAATTTCTTCTTCCTCATTTCTCTGGTTCTGTTTCCTTTTCTCCTCTTGGAGATTTCAATGGAGCATCACTTGAGTTTTTAAGAAGCTTTATATTATGGCGTATGAATGTCAGATTGCCTGCCTTTTCTTGTGTTAACTTGTTTCTTTTTGCATTATGAATGATACTGTAAGTATTGAAACGTCTTTCAGTTGCTGCCGTTGTTGGTGGCATATTCAATATGTTGATTGCTGCTTTCCCTAATTTTGATCCATAGCAAATACCTTTCCACCATGTTACTGCATCTACTGAGTCAGCTGATTTTGTTACATATGATTTTCCAAAAAAACCTTCTTTAGCACGATACTTTGCAAGCTCTGCAATGACTTTTGCTGAGTGATCAGTGCCATACATTCTTGTGACTAATTTATCGATGAATTCAGTTCCTTGTATTTGTTAATTTTTAGTAAGGCACTCACCATTGAATTTTGGATTTAGAATATTTGCAGCATAGTGAATGTCTTTTAGAGCCATATCTTTTCTTTTTTCAAAACTTTTCATCACATCCTGTTTTTTCTTGTTTGGTAAGTGACTTTCGGGAAGTAGCCTATCAAAATGATCGCTTAATTCCCTGAAACATTCAGGAACTTTGCTCATTTTTGGCTGATCAGATTCAAGCAGCATAATCTATTTAACAACAGGATTTATCAGTGCATGCAGTTTTTGGACCTGTACCCAAAATACATCTTCATCCAGGATTGTATTCCTGGTACATTTGCTCAGTTTAGTCTGTAAATCTTCATGAACAGCAAGGCATTTTAAGACATTTTTTTTAATTTCAATAAGCTTTTCAAACAATATAAAATGGAACCCCACCTAGTTTTAACTAGCAATTTAAGTGCACAAGTTTGTTTTTTCTCTTTTTGAAATGCAGTAAAATGAGCTTGTAAAACTTGCGATTTGTTAATTTCCTTCACAATAGTTTTACCGGGAGCTTCAGTTTCTTGAACAGATTTTAAGTTTCTGATGTCACCAATTAACAAATTTAGTTTATGAGCAACACAAGTGTACATAGTAATGTGATTGTATTTTTCATTAAGCATTGATAAAGATTTCACCATTGCTGCAGCATTATCAGTGACAATGGCACCAAATTTTTCAGTGTCTATTTCTGTCATTATTTCTTCCATACGGAATGCCATATACTCAGCAGTATGGCGTTCAACATCAATTGCCACTGTCTTGTAAAACACTGGTTGTGGTGTTGATATAATAAATTCATTTCTTCGGTTGCTCCAAGCATCACACTGCAGTGCAAGAGAAGAGGTTTTAGCAATTTTTGTTTTTATAAAAGCATCAACACGTTGATATTCAGCTTCCAAAAGTTTGTGAGAAAGTGTGTACCTGGATGGCATCTTGTAAGATAGTCTTAATTTTTGCATGAAAGTAATCCAATCTTTGTTTTCAACCAGTGAAGGAGACGATCCCGATGAGAATATAGCTTGTGCAAAAAATTCATCCAAAACTTTGTTTTCAGTTTCGTTCATAGAATCAAAGTAGTGACTTATAGAGTCACACACCTTGGCTGAACTAGATGTGGAAGATGGTGATGTAAATTCACTAGCACTATCACAGTGTTCTATAGATGTTGATGCAGTTGATGGTTGAGGTGATCTGCTTCTGAACTCTGAGAATTTTGTTGCCTTTTCCTTGATGTAAGCAGGAGTCTTCAAATAATTGGAAATATGTTTTCTCATCCTTGTCACATTTCTGATGTATTCAGCCTTGCAGTACTTACATTCATATACCACTTTGTCTTTAACTGTTTTATGAAAAAAATAATCCCACACATCACTTTTAGACTTAGTTCTTCTTTTCATACTGATGAAAACACAATTACACCTTTCACAAAAGAGAATAAATGTGTTATTGCCTCTTTATATACTTTCTGTGATGCTTCCAGAAAGTTCCATAACAGTCAGAATTCCTGACTCATGAATGTTCTAGAAAGTTCCATAACATTGGAACATAGCAGCAGGGCTGAGGGAGTGAAGGGGTACAATAGGGAGAGAACAATGAGGGGCGCATATGTAATGGGCCGATGGGTGGGCAGCAGAGGCAAAGAAATTTCTCAAAAATTCTCAGGAAATAATCTTTTGGAGAATATTCTCAGAATATTCTCCGTTCTCGGAGAATATTCTCCAGAGAATATTCTCACCTCACATCACTAGCTGTAAGTTATGCAGCAGTATGCTTTATAATTTTCCCTTGTCAGAAAGCCTTTTGCAGTGATCTTTATCCAAAGTTAATTTCAAAGGATGTTTTAAGTCATGCAACAAATTATTTTTCATTCTTACTAAGTTGATCTAGAAGAGACAAAACTACCCTTTGCCTTCAAAAGAAATGTTTGAGATTAAATAATTATATAAATACATCACTGCCAAAGGCTGATTTGTGGGCCTAACATGAAAAATGATTGGGGAATTGTATCTGATTATATCTAATTGGCATAGATTTTTTTTTCAAATACACCCTTATCTTCCCTACAGGGTCCTCAAGGAATCCCAGGTCCTAAGGTGAGTCAATAAATTAAGTGCTTGCCACACAGTACTTTGAGGCTGCTAGTGTGTAACCAAGAGAGAACACAAAGTAAGGGCCATGATCAAACAAGGCCTGGGTTTTAGAGGTGCTGAGCATCAAAAACATTCATTGACTTCAGCTGCAGCACAGGAGCTCAACTTTTATGAAAAATAGGCCTATATTGTATCAGCAATATTTCCTCCAAATGGACTTATGAACTTGAATCCTCTTTGTTATTTTGTTTGCACAGAACACGTGATGTATACAGTTTCCCAACCCCATGGCTGTGTCTACATTGGCCCCTATTCCGTAATAGGGATGCAAATGTAGCACTTTGGAATAGGCAAATCCGCAAGGGATTTAAATATCCCCCGCGGCATTTGCATTAACATGGCTGCCGCTTTTTCCGGCTTGTAGATAAGTAAAAGTAGGAATAAGAGATCCTCCGGAAAAGAGCTTATTTTCCGGAGGATCGCGTCCAGACTGGCACTTTTCTCCGGCTTATCTACAAGCCGGAAAAAAGCGGCAGCCATGAAAATGCAAATCCCCCGGGGGGGAATTTAATATTACGGAATAGGGGCCAATGTAGACACAGCCCATATGTTTTAGTTTCAAATACTTCTCATGTGATGGATTCAAGAAAACTTACTGTCCACCTGTATATATGAATGCAAAATACTATACATTTGCAGGGAGATAAACTTTAGATAGACCACAGAGGTATTGATTCTGTCTTGAAGATGGAGTTGGAGCTGGCTTTTACCTTGTCCAAGCATTGTAACCCTGATCCTAGATAATGCAATTCATTTTTACATTGGTCCTGACTTGTCCTTAATCACACTGGTACAATTCATCTGGCCTTCAATGGCAATTTGACCAGAGTATATGAGAAAAGAATTGACTCAGCAGATATATGGCTTACCCAGTCAACTCTATGTCATGTTCATTGTCTCTCCTTGGTATTTGTCATTATCTTTTCATGCAGGGCTTGGATGGTGCAAAGGGAGAAAAAGGTGACGGTGGTGAGAAAGGGGGAATTGGTGACACTGGGCCACCTGTGAGTAGCTCAGTTTGTATGTGTACAATCTGCTAGCTTGTATTTTTGCTGAAAAAGACCTTTTGCAGCAGTTTTTCAAATCCTTATGATAGCTTGCTTTTCTTTTTAGGGCCCTGCTGGTCCTCCAGGACTTATTGGCTTACCAGGCACCAAAGGGGAGAAGGTAATAATTGAGTAGAAAAAGGGAAGATAAAATATAGGAATAATGAACTGGCTAGAGGAGCAGTTCCCAACCTTTTCCAGAGGGGGACCCATTTTAACAACTCAGGAAGCCTTTGTGACCCAAGGCATTTCAAAAATGGGGGGGGGGGAGGAGGGAGCAGAGCCACCTGGGGAGACACTTGGTGACCCTTTTGAAATGTAATAGGGGGGGTGAGAGGGAGCAGAGCCACCTGAGGAGACACTTGGTGACCCTTTTGAAATGTAATGGCGACCCATATTTGAGTCCCAACCCATAGGTTGGAAAACCCTGGGCTAGAGTGTGTAGGCAATATATAATCCTGGGTATAATCAGAATTGCAAAACTGAGAGTCATATGCCCTATATATTAACAGAAAACAGGTAGTCCATTAGCTCAAGTAGCAGAGGCTTGTGTTTTGGGAGCACAGGATTTGAGTTCTATCCTTGCTATTTCTTTGAAGCTCAGAGCAACCATGGCATACAGCATGGTGACACACAGGAAATCCTAGGTTCCTATGGAATTGTTGGATAGTGAGACTTCATAATCGAATGAAATCAACCTTTAAGGGCATACCACTGCTTTAATACCATTTTTAATTTGAGGCAAAAATATAACATTAATTTAAAATCCACTCTGCAGTCTGCTTTGGCAGCCATCTCCAAAGCCAATTAGCTAATGTGGTGAAGAGAATTCCTTCTCGGACTCTCAAGTTGAGGCACATATGCCCTAATTATAGGCTACATTACTATTTTGATTATAAAAAGTCTATTTTTGCTGAGAAGTAGATTGTCAGCCATAGAGTTCTCAGCTATCACTGGGTTTCTATTAAATGAATGCCCAAGTACATATATTCAGAAAGGCCTTAAATTTAGCAAATAGATATCTGATCAGAGACATTATAGGCTGAGTAGTGCTCCATCTATGGAGCCTGTCCATAAGACAGAAAGGAAAGCCAAATGTGTTCTGGAGCAGCACAACACAGAATAAGCCCCTTCACCTCCCTCCAGTTTTTCTTTTGCACATATTTTTTTTATTCTTCTAGGACAATGTTTCCCAAATAATGCTCTGCGGAACCCCAGGGTTCCACAAAGTGAAAGTAAGGGTTCCGCGAGAACCTGATCACTCCCACCTCCCCGAGGCGGTCTGAGGGGTGGGCAAGCTGGTGGTTGCCCAGGGCCACCATTTTCAAGGGGGCCACTGGTGGCCACAGTCTTAGGGGCAGGCTGGCGTGTTTTTGTGTTGTTGATTTGATTTGATTTGATTTTTTTTTTTTGCTTGACAGTTTTTCCCCCTTGTGGGGTTGTTGGTTTTTTTTTTTTCGGTCGACCATTTTTCCCTGGCGGCTTTTTTAAAGGGTTCCATGGCCAAATAAAATTGGGAAACACTATCCTAGTAGATGTATGTGACACAAATGATATCATCTAAGTCTTCTGAGATGGCCATGTTCTCCAGGGCATTCATATATTTAAAAAAAATAAAGACAATCATAGACTTACTGAACCAAATACATCTCTGGTATAAATCCACGGAGGTTAATTTACTGGATTTCTTCTTTTTCAAAGCAGTCTATGATCAGCTGTGCTGTATTTACAGTGTCTTTAAAATTCTCCTGCCACCTTCCAACTGAATAGATATTAATGCTTTCTCCCATTATACCTATCTCGCTAGATTTCTTAATCCCCCCAAACTTGCTTTTCCAGAAATCTATATGCATGTGCTACTGTATTCTGTGACCTCTTCCCTTATTAGCTAGAATATATCTAGTTAGTTTAGGTCACAGTTCCAAGCCACCCTATTATTCTCTGTCTCTTTCTCAATCTCTTCCTATGAATTGGAAGTCAATAGAGTTACACCAAGGATAATTCTGACCTACTTTTGTCAAACACAGAAGATTCTAAATCCATGGTGTCCAACCAGTTTTGAAGCAGTAGCCAGAAGAGTAGTACTATAGTAGCTACTTCTATAGCGGACTAGCCACACACAACCAGCCTAATAACCACATGTGGCTAGTGGCTAGTGTGTTGGACACCACAGTTCTAAATGATCCAACTTAGCTTGTCCACAGTCTCCATGCAATCATCTGGAAACAATCAGTTGCCTTCTAAAGAATTATTGTCAACAACAATAAAAACTCATTTGCCTATCAGAGAGGCAAAAAAATAATTTCCCTTTAATTTTCTCCAGCCATTGTTTGCTTAAACATTAGTTATATACATTTATATTGAATCCCAACAAAACTACAAGACAGAGTTCACATAGTTATTTTGCCAAATAGTTGTAAGTTTACATAGGAGAGACACTTAACATGGTATCTTTTCTTCTACTTTTTTTTATATAACTCCAGGGCAAGCCAGGGGAGCCAGGATTAGATGTAAGTAGTGATACATTATTTTAATTATGGCATCTAAGGAACATCAAACATTATAAAATGGATGGCTTTTTTAAAAATTTTAAAAAATCCTATTTTCATATAGGCAATAAAGCAAACACTTTTTCTCTCATTTTCAATTAAATCTGATGTGCCCAGAGGAGTGACTTGGTGGATGGGAAGTAGATTTCCTATAACCAGGAGTGGCCCGAGGCCGGCTGCGGCAGCTGGCGCCCGCGATCGGTGCCCCCCGCCTGCACGGCCATCAATGGCCATGACGTAATAATCAGGTGCCTGGGCGCCCCGGGCCGGCGGTGCCTTAGGCGACCGCTGAGTCTGCCTATGCTTACGGGCCGCCCCTGCCTATAACACACTATTTGCAGTATAGCCATTAGAATGCTCCACTTCATGCCCCACAGCTGTAGCTATGCCACAGATTAATAGGATGCCACCTAATGGCTGGATGTGGAATTACAAGTCCATTAAGAATGTATCAGACTAACATGTATCAGAATGTAACATCAGAATGTAACATCAAAATCCCTGTCCAGAGGATACAATACCATGAAGGTATATTAAACCATGAACTTTCCCCCAAAGAAATCAGCCACAGATATTTGTGTGTAAAATATGTGGATTCTTTCTAATTGACCTTCTGGGCTAGGATGCATTTGATGGAGTTGTTTGGAACTAACCTTACAAATACCTTTCTCATATTTAAAATCCTCTTGATAGGGTTTCCCAGGTCTACGAGGAGAGAAAGGAGATAAAAGCGAAAGGGGAGAGAAGGTCAGTATAGTTTATATCTTTTCTTGTCACAAAGGGCCAGATTCTGTCCTCAGTGATGGCAACCCAAGCCAGCAAGGTTAAAACAATGTAAATGGGAGAAATTTGCCCAAAGTTTATTATGAAATTTAATTTTTGTGTGTATCAATATGCACAGATATACACAAAAGCTTTTTTTATTCTATATATATAATACATTATAGAAATGTTTTCAATAACTTCACCTGTAGTCACTGCTCACAAATTTTGCAGCCCTGTGTCCTAGTGCACGAGAACTAAAGAATGAAACAGACATAATCTAATCTTTTACTGACCAAACTGCAAGAAGTAAAAAACAAACTAAAAAAAACCCCTAATCCATGATGAAAAAGGTAAATTAGGGATCAGATCCTAAAGTTCTGGCTTCAGTGGTATCTTGCACAAGTGAAGATCCAGTGAAAACTGAATCAGCATCTCAGGTTCTAGCCATCGGTGCTTTAAAACTCTTTCTAATGCACAGATCCATGGCACTTGTAATCCAGGTAAGGACAGTTGTTCAAAGTATAAATATTATCTTGTTGGTTTTATGCACGAATGGTTTCACTGACTAAAGTGAATGGGAATTGATTAAACATTTCTAACCTGTTATTGTCCCTAAATTAACTGCTGCCTGGCCTGCGTCCACCACAAAGACATTTGCACTGCAGCAATGTAAAGCAAAGCCTACACTGATGTGGTTTACTCCAGCATTTCACTCGTGTGAAGCCCTCTTTACTTCAGAGCAATGTATCTACATTTGGGTAGAGCTGGGCATAGCTGCCATCTTCCAGATTTCCACCTCTTCTTCCAGTGCTCCACCCCCGCCTCACCCTGCACCAGCCCTGTGGCCAGTGCACTGTCCCCACCTTACGGACCCTGCATGGAGCGGCGAGGCCGTGCCATGTCTTCCCCCTCCCAGCACACTCTGTCACTCTCCCCAGAGAGCAGGAGCCCAGGTGAAGAGCAGGAGGGAGCCACTTTTAACACCAGTCCCTTCCCAATCAATGCTCTGGGGACCGCAGTACCTGAGCCCTGGCAGGGAATGGAAGTCACCTCCCCACCCAGGCTCTTTCAAGCAGCCACTGGGCAGAGCTGGAGAGCAGCATCTCAGCAGCTGGAAGGGGCTGGTCCCCCCTTCCACTACTGACATCTGAACCGTGTGTTGCCCTGTCCCAGCCCCTCCCCCGGAAAACCAGAATCTTACCTTATTTTCAAAGGAAATGCTTCAAAAACCAACTTTTAGATTTTGATGAATCAACATTTTCCAACACAACCTCATCCCATTAGAACATTTCTGACTGGTTCCAATGATGCGTTTGCATCAGTGTAACAACCTCGGTGTATCTGCACCACTGTGAATCGCTCTGTGGACAAGGCCTAAAATGGTAATAGTTGGAGGTCTTACATTAATATTGAACTGTCATCCTTCTGTGTCAAGCATGGTTTAATCTTTCTATTGTGTCAACAGGGAGAAAGAGGAATACCTGGTAGAAAAGGAGCCAAGGGGCAAAAAGGAGAACCAGGCCCGCCAGGGTTGGATCAGCCTTGTCCAGTGGTAGGTGATTGTTTTACGGAGGAGGAAAGCTTTGCCTTAGATTCCATGGCACCAAGACTATTCATGACACTTTTCTCTGGATTCTATGGGTACATCTAGACTACAGGCTTTTGTCGACAGAGGCTTTGTTGACATACTGTTGACAGCTTCTGTCAACAAAGAGCATCTAGACTACATCCAGTTCTGTCGACAAAGCAAGCTGCTTTGTCGACATGAGAGTGTAGACGCAAAGGACAGTGTAATAACGCTTTCTGTCGACAGAACTCTGTCGACAAAAAGCATTATTCCTCGTAGAATGAGGTTTACCGCTGTCGACAAAACTGCCAAGTTCTGTCGACGTTGTGCCGACAGAACTCGGCAGTAGTGTTGACGCAGGTATAGTTTTGTCGACAAAAGTCCACTGTTGTCAACAAAACCCTGTAGTCTAGACACACCCTATCTGTTGGAGGTCTCTGTTTGACAGCTCAGTTATTTTGCACTAGGTCAGAAACTGTTGCTGGTTTTTTTGGTTTTGGTTTTGGGTTTTTTTGTGTGTGTGATTCTTTCCATTTGCACTGCTGAGATATCAGTACTCAAGACATATCGCTCACTGTAATGATCCTTTACTTGCTAGACAAGGACTGGATGCAGTAATAGAGATAAGGACCTTGTGTTAAAGACCTTCTCAGTATATTTAAAAATCAAACAAAGATGTGCGGTAGACAGTCCCTCCTTTTAAAAGAGTGGTGAGTGGTTTCACCCCAGTACATCTCTGCTCTGATATTGAGCATCTGGGGGCTTTGGAAGACAAAATGGTACTGTGAGATTAGATATTGAGTCAAATTCATTCCTGAAGTCACCAAAGATTACTTACGTGGGGTTGCATTTGGCCCTCATTTTTATTTCTTTTCCTTGGTAAGATTGATAGTTGATTGCAGTCCAGATTTCTCTATTTATAAATTAACTCAGATTACAATTAGACACACTTTCCTGTGAAATAAGGATGACTCATGCTCTATGTTTTAGGGCTGGTGTGAGAGTTGTGGCATGTTGTGCTGCATGCCCAAGGGATACCTTTTCACTGTGTATTCCCTGAGATGTCAGGGAGTTCAGGGAGGAGGCATGCTGTTGAGTGGTCTCTCTGACAACTGTTCGAAGTGGGACTGTGACTAGTACTAAAGAGCTGTCTCTCCTCAGAGAGCAACTGGGACTGGTTGAGAGTGAATCAGAGAATCTTCCTTCCAGTTCCTCAGAACTGCTGGGTTTTAGAGACTAACTGTAACCGGGTCCTTGGGGCTGTGTAGCCTAGTGGCTAGGTTGCAGAGTAAGCAGGCAGTGCTCCTGGCCAAGGAACACACTGCCTAGTCAAGTCTTTAAGTTTGGGGCGTGGCCCAAGAGTCCAGATTCCCCTTAGCTGGTGCTTCTCAATAGGTTCCTCCCTTTTCCCATAAAGGGGGTGGCTTATTTGCTCCCATGGCCGCTAAGCAGACAGGCTCTGGTTTGCGTCCTGTAGACTGCTGTCCTGCCTCCTTGCTCCTCAGCCACTGAGTAGAGTTCCTTCCTTTTCTCCTCTCCCCAGGCCTGACATTGGCTGCAGGTAAAGAGGGGTGGGGCTACTTGGGCCCAAAGGCTTTCTTTTAACCCCTGGGATGACAAGCTCTCCCTTCTGCACTCCCTCACACCAACATTAATCAAACTTACCATGTATGTTTCCAGAGGTTCGTATGCATTCGATAGGGCCTAGTGAGATTCTCTTTTATGCCAAGGTAGGCAGGTGGGCAATATCTTGTATTGGACCGACCACTGTTGGTGAAAGAGATAAGCTCTGAAGCTACACAGAGCTCTTCTTGATCAAGGAAGTCCTTTTCTAAACTACTGTTTTCTTCAGACCTCTAAAATGGCTGTGTCTTAGTAAAATGCTTTGAGATTTATGGATGAAAGTGACTATTATTATTAAAGTCATATTATTTCCAGGGATGAAAGTAAGTATTCAGGTAGTCAGGTCGACTACTCGCATTTTCCCCCACCTTGCTGCCTCTGTATTAGAGGCAGCAAGGAGGAGGGAGGAGGAGCGGGGGGGAGCCAGCTTAAAAGCCAGTTTCCCCAGCACCGTCTTCACGGTGCCACCTGCCCTCCCTCCACCCCCGCGTTGCTATCTCTATTAGAGGCAGCAACACTGGGGGGGGGTGGGCAGGGGAGGCTGCTACGAAGCAGCCTCTGCCCACAGCGAGTCCAGGCTAGCCACAGACAGAGGCTGCTCTGGTAGCAGCTTCTGGATCTGGCGTGACACCGGCTGGCACAGGGTCCGGGAACTAGCCTCACTGTGGCACTGCAGTTTAAATATAGTAGGAGCCAGCTGCCTGCCCCCCCACACCCAGGTCTTACTACATTTAAAATGCAGAGACGCAGCGGGGGTAGTTCCCAGACCCAGTGCCAGCTGGGACTGAGCACCTTTCCCATCAACTAATCGTGTCGTTGATAAGAATTCTATCGACTACAAGATTAGTTAAATACCCACTTCTTAACATCCCTCCTCGTTTCATAACGTACTCCAGACACTGATCTACTTTGGAGAACTTACTTTAAACAAGCTACAATAAATGATTTTTAGGCCTGATCTATACTTAAAACTTTTGCCAACATAGCTATCAGTCGCATCTGATTTTTTTTCTTCCTTCAGCCTACAACTGACCAACATAACTGTGCTGGCATAAGCTTTAATGCAGATGCAATGTTTTTGCTGTTATATCTTATTTTATTCAGGACACTGGCATAAGCTATACCAGCATCTATAATTCATTTTGGCTTTCTATACATCATCTCTTTGTGTGTCAAATTATTTTACTTCCTTGGTTTTAGCTTTGCTCTTACAAAGTTATAAGATTCTTGTCTGATTACAATGTTGATTGTGTCTAGTTGAATTTGCTATTCTTGTGTCGTCAAAAATAGTTTTATAGTAATTTGAACCCATTTTCTTTCTTTTGCTGATGAAATGATGTCTAAGTAACTTTGTTCTGTGTCCTTCATCAATCTCAACAAGCAGTTCATTTTCAAACAGGGAGATCGTAATATTAAAGGCGATAAAGGGGAGCCAGGCTTACCAGGCCTGAATGGGTTGAGCACACCCTGCTCTTTGGTATAGTATCTCTTCGCTTTGCTTTTCTTGCATGGCTCTTGTGTGCAATTGTTTCTGAAGCTGCAAAGCCCTTTCATGATGGATATGTGAGTACACTTCCATAAGAAGAGAGGAAAAACACATTAGATTCAGAGCCGATTTGTACTTAGAATCAAAGAGCTGGAAGAGACCTCAGGAGGTCATCAAGTCCAGCCCCCTGCCCAAGGCAGGACCAATCCAAACTAAATCAACCCAGCCAGGGCTTTGTCAAGCCAAGACTTAAAAACCTCTAGGGATGGAGATTCCCCCACCTCCCTAGGTAACCCATTCCAGTGCTTCACCACCCTCCTAGGGAAATAGTTTTTCCTAATATCCAACCTAGATCTCTCCCACTGTAACTTGAGACCATTGCTCCTTGTTCTGCCATCCGTCACTACTGTGAATAGCCTTTCTCCATCCTCTTTGGAACCTGCCTTCAGGAAGTTGAAGGCTGCTCTCAAATCCCCCCTCACTCGTCTCTTCTGCAGACTAAACAAACCCAAATCCCTCAGTCTCTCCTCATAGGTCATGCGCTCCAGCCCCCTAATCAGTTTGGTCGCCCTCTGCTGGACCCTCTCCAATGCATCCACATCCTTTCTATAGTGGGGGGTGTGACGGCTTTCTGCGGGTGTGAGCGCCCCCTCCCGACAGGGCAGGGGGGTTCAGCGGACCCACCGTCTAGGGTTAATGCGTGACTGTCCCGGGGTTCGTCCCTCTGGGTAAGAGTGCTATCACCTGGCCATGCGTCCGGACCGGGGTTCGGCGAACTCACTGCCCTGCCCCGTTGGGGGGGTCCCTGGATCTGGTAGGACAGGGGTGGGGGAAGGGAACTTCCGGCGGTCCGTCCTGAGGAAAGGTCCTCTCTGGAAGGGGATGATGAGTATCAAGCGTCTCACTTCGCAGTCTTGGTTGCCCTGTGCCCGTCGAGTCGCGGGGCGGGCTTACGACGGGGTTTACTGGGTGGGCTGGGGCTGTGGGTGAAGGGTCAAGGTGTGGGGGACCCGGGCCCACCCTCTCCACCGGGTCCTAGCCCGGGGCCCTAAGTGGGGGAACAACGGTGGCGTTCCTCCCACGACAGGTGGGGACTATCCTCATAACTAAATGTCCACGGGCGCCAGAAGGGCCTTGCCCCGGGCTCCTTCCACTCCCCACTCCCAGCCGCCCTGCCGGCGTATCCATCTGAGGCACTTACCCCGCCTGAACCGTCGGCCCCGTCCAGCTGCCGTCCTGGGGGTTCCTGTGCCCGCTCTCTTGTCCTCCAATGGGGGGGATCCCAGCCTGCTTGCTTGGTGGGCGGCAGGTC